CTTTCATGGCTTCTTACTCGTGGTTTTCAAGAATTTTTTACTCAGCTGAACCAGACCTCAAGATATTCTATATCTCAGCTGATCATGAGGCAAAAAGAAGAAACCATAACCATTTAAAGGTTTGTTTGTTTGCCTGTTTCTGGTAAGCTGACCTCTTGTTTATTTTTTATTTGAAAAAATTTTTTGAGTGCTAAGGATCAAATCCAGGGCCTCACACATACTAGAAAAGTGCTCTACCACTAAGATACAGCCCAACCCTAAGCTGGCCTTTTAAATCTCTGCAAAGACCTCTGGTGAGATTCTGGTCCTGGTTATTAGTGATAGGACATTTTCAACATTGATACTGTTTTTCTGCAGTCTCTTTCAAAGAAACCAGAATTGTTATTTCTTAAACCATAAATAAGTTTTCTCTGTCTACATACTTTATTAGCGAGGAACTGAAGGAGGCAAGGAAATAGCCCACTGTTTTCTGGCTTGTTAGTTCAACAAAACCACGATCCTGGTTCACACAAGTATGAGCCTGTGGATCTTTGTACCTGCATAGAGTTCAGTATCCCACTTTAATGCAGGAGACAATGAACTTCCAGATAGAAAAGCAATGCTCTCCAGCAAACAGGTTGGCGCTTGAGAGATAATGCAGGTTTTTTTTGAGTCCCAACTGGGCTCCAGTGGTGACTCAGGATGAGCTTCTTATTGCCCTTGCCAAAAAGAGTTCCGTCACCACTGGGATCCAGGGATACAGAAGTGGACAGAGCCTTCTACACACATGAAAAGTAATCCTCTGGCCTTTGAAAAAAAGTTGTACACTTAATGAGTCATTCTCAATACATGGCTAGAATAAAATAAATGGCTTTTTTCCTTATTTACTCTAAAAACTAGTTTAAGAAGTGAGGATACTATGATATCAACTAAGAGGTGCTGGGAAGGGAAAAATGGGACAGCATTTCCTAGTGTAGTCCACTAATTTTCAGATTAGGAACATGCTAAACTGGCTAACTCTACAACCACAACATACTTTATAATACACAACGTGACTAGAGACTGACCAGCGTAGCTCCGAGCTTAGAGTTAAAGTATACAACTGCATATGGTGAGTCTTAAAGCATGTTTTAAAACAGATTTAACCAAAGCATACACAGCACAAATACTTCTATAATAGCCACATCACAACCACCAATAAAGAGGTTTTTTTTTTTTTTTTTTGCTTTTAATCGGTCTGTCATATGCTAATATTTGTAAAGAGCTATTAAATAACTTGATTAAAAAACAAAGACATTTTCTTTCGGTAGACACAGCTAAAAGCCATGGGTGCCTTTGAGCAGTTGGTAAAAATCATGCCAATCTGCCAGGCTGTTGCTTGCTTCTAAATATAAGCCTCATGGCTCTATGAAAGATTTTCTAAGGATGCTAACCTAGAATTTAAGTTCTCAAAACACATATAAAGTAACTCTGGCTTCCTCCCAAAGTGTGCACCTTTTAGCAGGCCCAAGACAATGGAAACAAACAACAGGATTCCAAGAACTCAAGAATTGTGGTAGAAGATTCATTCCTGCAGTTCTGTAGCCTGGAAAGAACAAGGCCAGAGCCAAGCTCTACAGACAGGGCTGGAATGGTGTTGGGCAGGGTTTCTCAACCTCACCACCAGTGACAGCTGAGGTTGGATTGTTCTTTATTTGGGGGACTGTCCTGTGCACTGCAGGATGGTTAGAAGTATTTCTGGCCTCTACTCACTAGATGCCAGTAGTAACCCCCACGGAGGAGTGATACCCAAATGTCTCCAGACATCGCCAAGTGTGCCCTGTGGGGGCAAAATTGCCCCTGGTTGAGAAGCACTTGCTCTGGAGATAGCTCACTTGAGCCCCTTGGCGCGGAGAACTCCCTTTTAGTCTTGGGTTATGGAGAGAGGCTAAACTTCAGTCAAGACTGAACAAGGCTCAGTTCAAGTTCACTTAGAACTTTAGAGAAGAAAAAGAAGAATGGCAGAGAAGTCAAAGTAGAAAAAGAGAGGCTAAGTTTGTTTTGTTTTTTTCCCAAAAGGAGATTAGTGATACTTCCAAAACACAAAGTAATTCACAAACCTTCATTCAACCTATGTATTCTTTAGGAAGTTAGGGCAGATAACAGAACGTGGATGTCATAAATTCCCCTTCCTAAAGAAAATGCAAATTTTTGTGACTTAAGTCAAGTCATTCCCACTATGGATGGCAATCTTTGTGAGGTTAGTAATTCCTCATCAACCAGAGGCAAAAGCAACAGTTAGAAGCTGAGAGAGGACCCATTAGATCGAAAAGAAGACTTTACTCCCACCCACCCCCCAAACAGGAAAAGAATGACATGCTAGAAATGCAGAATGTAGGTTCACTTACAGCTTATTAAGGATCGATGAAAGTGGGAAAGGACAAAAGCTGAGAAGAGGATTAAAGAGCTACCTCAAAAACACTAGTTGAAAACATTGTAGCTATTTTCTGGCTCAAATCTGGGAATGTACGAAAAAGTACATATTGACTCTTCATCAATTAGGTTTAGTTTGTTCTAGGTAGAAGGCAATTATTCTAGCCCTTCTTTGAAGAACCATCGAGAATATAAATGTTCTGCAAACATCTGAGATCCCAGTGTTAGCAAGGATGACAACATGGGAAACCAGCCCCTAGGTGACGACGAGCCTCGAATGCCATAGTATGGCAACGGGACTGCGCAGTTCCTAAGCGCACACAGCACAGTGAGAAGTCTTTCCAGAAGAAAAAACGTAGTTTCTGGTTTGCAAGGGGGGATACAAGGTACAGATCTAGTACGAAAAGAAGTGTTAAATATAGACCTTTGTAGAGTCATTGTATCCAGGCAAAAACTGCTGAAGGTCTACCTCACATGTATAACCAAGCAGCTGCCTGGGGAAAGCCAGAATTCAGAGCTACCCAGCCAGTATTGAACTGGTGACAGAAAGGAGATAGAAAAGGAACTTGAGAACATGCAAAAACTATTTATTTGAATCAAATTGTTTCAATGATAGTACCCAGTTGAGTTTCATTTTAGTGCCTATTACACTTACTACAATTAAATAAAAAGCACCTTAAAATGACCTCTCTCTATATATAATCAATACACACCATTATAATATTTATATAAAAATGCAATATGCACACATTTTAAGCTTCAGAGATTCTAACACCTTTCTCTTTATAATCTTCATAATCATCAGAGCTAGGATTCTAAAAATCTTGGGGGAGGGTTAACGGGAATTCAGCATATTTCAAAGAGAGCTGACTTGATTCAAGGGCTGACACTCATAATCCTGGAGCGAGTAATAAATACTGAGAAGTTACCTCTTTGAGGGGTGGGAGGGACCTCTAAAAGTCTTATTGCTAAGAGACTACTTCCAAAAGTCTACTACTACTGATAGATGATGGTGTTGAGGTGATTTCTGTCAAGGATGGCCTGGAGATATGGGGGATAACACTTGCTGGCCAAAGGCCTTAATGGTACTTGCGAGTAACTTGGGAATTGAAGTGATCAAATGAGAGCAAGATAGGTCCTGTTCTGATGGAGGGAAGGGTGTATATACAGGTGTGCATGATGACCTTGTTATAAATGGACAGTCCCAGGAAGAAAAAATGGATATAGCATCCATTTATAGAGAGATTTTCTCTACATCTGGAATTGCTTCAGGAGCCTTTTAAATACATCGGGAAAAGCAATAATGAAAAAAGTGGTTAGAAGGAGAAATGCCACACACGCATCTCACACCGCAGCTAGAGCCAAGAGTCTCCAGGAGGGCGGACGGTATTCAGGAGCATAGAGCTGGTTTGCAAGATCTGCAGACAGGTGCCTCTTACAACCTCACAACAAGGAATGTTTGCTGGCGAATCTTTGGTCTACGCTCTACACTAATGCTTAGTGGAAGAGCACATTCTCTCTACAAAGACCCATGAGCAACACCTCTGTCTGTTCCCCCGCTTACGTCCAAGTAACATTCCTGGACACAAACGGGAGCCAAGTGTGTGAGGGCGGAAACGAGGCCTGCTGGAATCTTCACTGGCCTAGCTGACCTTCTTCCCTTGTGGGTCTGGAAAGAGATGCTGCATTATCTGCTACCAAGGATCACATCTAGAGGCTACTGCTGGGGCCGAAAAGTTGAGCAAGGTTCATACTGTTACAGTCACATGTAGCCACAATTCAACTCCCTTTATTAGAAGTATAATACTCACTTCATATCACAAATGTATAAAAATATGGCAGATAGTGTCATAACGATACTTTCTTTAAATGAATATATTTATAAAACAGACAGATATTTACCATATATATATTTATATATATAGAATAAAATACTCCTGATGCAATATATAAATGTTACTGTTTAGTTTTTATAGAAACTACTGTAGCTGTCCCACTGCTTCACAATGTTCCAAACAGCTCAAAATAACTTTACATTAGAACATAAAAGTATGATAATTATAACAGTACAATATTAATTATAAATAAATGTTACAAATCCTATCAAATATGGAAGCTTAGAAAACAATTTAAGACATACAGTTCATCTTCTAACCCTTCAAAGGGATACTCTTGGATTACAACAAACCCCACATTTAGTCTAGGCAGAAAATAATACGTGGTAAGGGCATCGGTCAACACGAATTTTTCTATCCCTTGCAGTGCCAGGACATGTCCTGGCTTTCCCAAGTTCAACAGAGATTGCACTAAAGCTGGAATGTAAGGGGGAGAAACTGGCAAGAATTTCTTCTTCCTCAATGGCACACTCTATCCATTCTCACACAAGACCTGTGGGGAGTGGCGATCCCTAAGGAACTCCCGTGGCTCTAAGATCCCTGACTAGCATTTGTGGCTGTGAGGAGCCAGATGGCCCTACACATACAATATTGCACACACCTTCATAAAGCTGAAAATACTGGCTTACCACCCTGGCCCAGCCCCTTCCCCAGCCCACCCCGCGCCCTCCCTTCCCAACTGGCTCGTCCCCCCTCCCCCCACCCCAGCACAAATTACAAGGCCGTCTCTTTTAAATCGTTCAGATTTGGCATTCGTGAGCGATTTGTTCTGTTATATGGGTGCCCGTTTGGCCCACTCTTGGCACCCAGCTGTTCAGAATAGGAAGGCCCCTCTGTGGCACTCCTGGTCACAGAGGACACGTGCCAACCAGGATCCATCTGACCTGGCAGCTGGAGGGCTGGCCTGCCCTTTGGTGTGGGCTCCTGCCGGATGTTGGTGCTCCCACCAGAGGCCTGGCTCAGGGGGTGAATCCGAATTTCTGAGAAGGAATTTTTGGTTTGTTGAGCTGCTAAGGGCTGGAAGCGGGGATCTGAGGAAGCCGGATGATTTGAGGCCGAAGAGAGATGTAACAGCTTGCGCAGTGATTTTAACGGCTGGCTCTAAAAGAAAGGATGAGAACGTATATAGTATTAAATTCTGAGTAGACCAGGGCGCTGGGAGAAAATGGAGCTCAGAGGGGACAAGACTAAAAGAAGCCAGGGAGGGCAAGCTGGAAGGGCTAGCCCAGCTCTAGCTGCCTTCTGAGTTTCTTCAAAGAAGACTATAGTCACTGTCCTTTCATGTGAAAATCTAGAAGACAACTAGAGCTGGTGGGTGCTGCTCAGAGGCCCAGGCTCCTTCAATCTGGCTACATCCTGTCTTACTATGGAGTTTCATGCTTCAACCATAGGAAGAAGAAATTTAAGAAGGGATGTTTTTCTCCTTTTTGAGAAGACTTCCCAAAAGTTCCACATAATGCTTCCACTTAATATTTCACTGGCTAGAACTCAGGCACACAACCTTATCTAGCTGCAAGAGAAGCTGGAAGAATGCAATGCTTTAGTTCGGCAGCAATGCACTGAGCTAAAAAATTGTATAGCCCTTTTTGTTCTCATCTATCTAATTTCCCCTTTTCTTTGATATTGTAAAATCTAAATGTGCCCTGCTATAGTTACTTTTATGTGAATGTATGGTGGAGGGTGGTGGTGTAAGATCTGGGCATAAACAATGCAAAGCACAAAAGCAAAACCCCTACAGAACCTAATTTTTCATTCACAGAAGGCTGTCAACTCCTAACATGGACTCACAGCAGCTCTGCCTGACTGTCCATGGCTGAAGGCCCATAAGGGGCTGCACTGTGAAGGAAGAGTGGCATCAAGGCAGAAGGCAGGGTCCTGGACATGTTCTGCCTCAGGCTAGCCAAATACTCTCGGGTAACTCCCGAGCCTCAGGTTCCTCAATGGTCAAAGGCAGCTGACTTCCCTATTCTCCACCTCTATCATGGGGCATGTGAAGGCCACTATCAGAAGAGGCATGGAAAGCCCTTAGACATGCACAGCCAATCACTATTGCTGGACTTATCACTCAGACTACAATCCTAGCCTGGGGGCAGCTCCGCCTGCTAATATCTTTACCTTTACTCTGAGTGTCACAGTACAAGCGACATACATTTAGGGCTAGCCAAGTTTGAATAAGATGTTGAAAATCTCCAGGAACCCCACAGGGTTTGAAGGAACACGATGTTGAAAGCCAAATTACGGTCTGGGGTTGTAGCTCAGTAGCAGAGCACTTGCCTAGCACGTGTGAGGCATTGGGTTTGATTCTCAGAACTGCAAAAAAATAAATAAATAAAATAGCCAGGCATGGTGGTGCAGGCCTGTAATCCCAGCAGCTCAGGAGTCTGAGGCAGGAGAATCAAAGTTCAAGTTCAAAGCCAGCCTCAACAACTTAACGAGGTCCTTACCAACTTAGTGAGACTCTGTCTCAAAATAAAAAATAAAAAGGGCTGGGGATGGAGCTCAGTGGTATAGCAGCCCTGGGTTAAATCCCAGTACCAGAATAAAAAATAAATAAACACATAAATAAAATAAAACTATTATGTACATCTGCAACTAAAAAATGTTAAAAGAAAGCAAGCCAGGGGCTGGGGATGTGGCTCAGCGGTAGCGCGCTCGCCTGGCATGCGTGCGGCCCGGGTTCGATCCCCAGCACCACATACCAACAAAGATGTTGTGTCCGCCAATAACTAAAAACTAAATAAATAAATAAATAAGAGTGCCTCAAAAATTAAAAAAAAAAAAAAAGACTACTAGTCAGTTATTTTAAAAAAAAAAAAAAAAAAAAAAAAAGAAAGAAAGCAAGCCAAGGTAAAAGGCTTGAGAATCAACTCAAGGAGGAACTAACTGCTCCAGGGGAAGTATCCTCCAAAACTATTCCAAGATCTTTCTAAGAAAGCCATGGGTCCCCACAGGAGGCGGCATAGTACCCTGCGCAATGTAAGTGCTCAAAGGTGTTTTTGTTTTTTAATTTTTTATTAAATTGTTATGGTAACACAATGAGACTCCTGGGGATTTTTTATAGCCCTAATCACATGTAACTATTGAGCAATTACAATAATCCAGAATCAGCTGGAGATGAAAAGTTACTTGAAAAAAGCTTCTTGGCGAAGGAAACAGTTTCACCATGGAGTTTCTAAGCATTGGGCCCTCACTTGGAGCCTGTGTTCCAATATACTTGGATATCTGGTTCTCTATTCCCCCACTGCCCCCAGCCCATATGACATCAGAAGCAGAAAATATAAATGGTTGGATAAAGAGGATAGCCATTTGGGGAACTCCTGTTCCCAGCTCTAAGTAACAGCTTACAGTTAAAGAGAACAAATAGAAAACCTGTAATGAGTAAAGGCCCCACCTCCAAATCACAGAAACCTGTGATTTGATTAAAGAAATCGACAAATTATGTAACTATGCTTATTGTGGGATACTGAAAAGTTACAATATTGAAACTTCTCTAATTGACAAGCTGTTTAAAGGAGATAAACCTCCACTACTTAAAAAATTTAGTGACTCAATTTCTGCTTATTGCCCCACTACAGTAGATAAATGTGCCTATACAATACTGTCCAATTTGTAGTTCCTAATGCAATTGTTTGCCTGTTTTTTTTTTTCATCCGAGATAGCATATGTTTCAGGAAATGAAATGTTCTTTCATGAAAGATAATCCTATCTGTATGTGTATCTGAACCAATTTTGGGGGCTGGGGTCATAGTTCAGCAGTACAGCTCTTGCCTAGCATGTGTGAGGCACTGGGTTCAATTCTCAGCACTGCATACTAATAAAATAAAGGTTCATTGACAACTAAAAAAAAATATTTAAAAAAGACCCAATTTGTATTCTACTACTTTTAAGAAAATCTTAATCTTCCCACCATCTCCATTCATTCTCTCACCATTTTATAGCTGACCTCACTTTTCAAACAATCTTTATGAATCTTTCTCCTGGGCTGTAGAGTATTTAGAGGATAGGACTGTATCTTCTTCATTCCCTTAACCTCTCTGTCCCCTCCCCAGCTAGGTAAAGGCTTAGAGACTCAGTTTTCCCCCACGAGGACGTGAGTCATTGAAGCATGATTCATCCAGACTCCCAAGATATACCTGGCTATTAGTGAGGGTCTATTTGAAAGAGGCCCTCAGTGTTGCCGTAACACCGAGAAACTAACTTTTCTCTCCCCTGCCTTCCTCCCTAGGACTTGCTGCAGAATCAGAGAGTCTAGGAATAGTATAGGTTCCACTCACTTGGATCTGTAGATCTGAGAACTTCTCAGGACGCCACTCCTTTGGTCTGCTGCTTGAAGTGCTAGCAGAGTGAATGGCTTTCTGTAATGTCAGAAGGTCGGGGCCATCAGAATTGGGCACCTAGAGTGAAAGGTGGACAAGGTTTCAACAAGCACACCAATAAATCTATTAAGATATACAGCCACACCCAAGAGGAGAACCAAACCAGAAAGCAAATTGAACCAAACCAAAACTCAAAAGGGGGGGGAGAAAGAAACCAAAACTCTCCCAATATTCATAATGCAAGTGATGCTAGTTAAATTCTGCTGCCCTCTTAATAATTTTCCCTGCATTAGGAAAAATTGGCAGATGTCATGCAGCTTTGTTGAAACCTCAACCCTTAAAGCATTCCCATGCTGTTAGTTTTAGTCGCTGTAAGAGAGAGCAGTTAAATTGGGCTGTACCAGGAATTGATGTCGTATCCTCATTCCATATTGCAGTTAGGTTATGAACCAGTTCAATAAAACAACAAAAAAAATTTCCCTGCTGGGAAAATGATCCAAACACTATAGTTGGTGGTGCCAAAGAAGTCTAGTAGGTCTTCAAGGATAGTGAAGTGGGAAAGTACAGTTTGAATCATAGTCCCAACGTTACCCAGTAAATTTGGATCTAGTATTATACACTGGAAAAATGCTGGAAATTTGTACCGCAAATTCCAAGTGAATGCAATTAGTCTATTCACCAGTTTTGGTGAACAAAGGAGAGTTATGCCACATGCCAAGCAAAATTGTGGCTTTAAATTAAGTGACCAGCAAAAGCTAGAGCCAGGCAAGGAAAGAACAAGTCACCAACTAGTAGAAGCTATTTTTTTCATGGAGCCTGCTAGCTCACTTAATTTGGTCAACTCAAACTTAGTTTCAAAGAAACAAACTGCCAACCAAATGTTAACAAACTTTGTGAGCCAAATGCAAAGACATTTATTAAGTGTAAATGTTAATCAAATTCTTTACAGGAAATAAGGGACTTCATAAATGTTGTCTGCCAATAACTGGCTAATCAGACAACCCAAACTAGCCTTTCACTAGTTTGTTTAATAGATGTTATGTGTCAACATCCTTAACTGATTCCAAAAAATCCAGAATGACAAAGATTTTATATCCCGGTGAATTTATGGAACTGGCTCAGGTACTTAACTAGCACAAAGAGAATATGACCCCACGAAAATAAGACATGCTTTTGTCATCAGTAAAACAAGTTTACTGGAGCAGTTTTCAGGGCTACCATACATAAAAATGGGTACCATGGGTGGAGTGACTACAGGAAGCTTTTTCAAAGAAGAACTATGCTTTAAATGATTCTTTGAATTAAAAAGAGGAAAGAGGGATTTCTTGATGCTTGGATTCTCCCCGTTGGTGGAATCTGTCTGCAATATAAGATACAAATAAACTAATTGCAAAAAAAAAAAGGTGTTTTTTATTGAAACTAATAACCCTTGGCAGCCTTCAATTTGTTAAATATTAACGGTCACTGAAAGAATCTCTGTGCTGAGCATCTAGAATGGTTCTGTTTCATTTTTCACATGGATACGAAGAGGTCAATAAGCTAAGTTCAAGGCAAGCATGAACTTCTTCTAAGCCTATAATATGTGGTCATGATCAATACCTATGGTAGGAATGCCTGGAAACCTATACACATCTGTTCAGATTAAGCTTATGAAACATTTAAGAATTTATTTATTATCGAAATAAAATTATTATAAAGAATTGTTTAATGAGCTGCTGATGAATTTCAATCTTTTCCTAATTGCTAGAGAGAAATTTAGCAACTAAAAAATAACAATATAATTTGCCTATTAATGGGAAAAGAGATACTGTAAATCCTTTATAAATTTGGTCAACTCTTGAGCCAGACTACATCACTTGGAAGAGGACTACCACTGTTCTGGGATGCTAACATTGAGCAAGCAGCCTTCTTGTACACTGTTAGAAATATTTACCCAGTGGAAAATATTTGGCACAATTTAGAAAATTGGCTTTTCAAGTGAAGAAACAGAAAGTTCAATCTTTAAATTGAAGCATCATTGCAAGTTGAGATACCAAGTAGAATACAATTACCAAGTTGGCAAAGTCACCATATGCTCTGAGGGCTTATGTAACTCTCTGGATATGTAACTGAAGCCAGATTTCCCAAGGCACCTTCCAGATTTGCTTGAGTCAAAGCATGCACCTTTACAATACAGAATTAATTTTTGGCACCCCCTTTCTCTCTTTTGGATATCTCAATTGTCGGAGAACTGGAAAGTAATAAAGGTATTCACAGACCATCTTTTATGGGTTTGTGTATGAGGACATTCGGGAAAAATATCCCATGCTCTAATTTCCTAATCTAATGACAAGAACCCAGGGCACAATTTAAGACCCATTGCTAAAGAGGTCAGAAGAGAGCTCCCTCCTCCCCCCAGGCCTTTCACAGCAATGGGCCCAGCAGGACTAAGCCTGGCACTGGGATTCACGAGTACCTGGTTTTCGTTGTCCCAACTGACTATGTGTTGGGCAGGTCACAACCTGCCTGGGCTCAGTTCCTGTGCTAATGAAACAAAAGGGTTCAACTAGATTTAAGATCCACCAACTTTTAAAATGTCACACCTCTCTATGTGCACTGGACATCAGAATTTCTTTGAAGCCTATGCAAAAGTTATAATGCCTAAATCTTTCAAAGTTTGTTTTAGTTTCCTTTTGTTCAATTCTAGAAAGTGAAAACAAATGAACTTTAATTACGTTTGCTCATTCAAAAAAGGCCTTAAATAGTTTTTCTTTAGTTAAAAAAATACGGTGGTATTTAAAAAACTTTTGCTTTGGAAGGTATAAGGCATGATGGCATGAGGAAAGATATTTTGCAGTTAATTTAAATATCTAATAAAAAGTAAGTTTAAGTCAAAGAGATGTTAGAAAATAGTAATTTTCCTATTTACCCTGATCTACACTATTAAATATCTAAGTAACTGTATCCTGAATAATAAAGTCAGTCAATATGTATATACTCTATTTGGCCTCACTGAATCAGGGACTTTAGGTTTAATGTCAGTCTAAGGCAGATGGACATTAAAACGTAACTCTAAATACAAAAATAGTTTCAATTCCTTAATTCTTACTATTTTCTGTCATTTAATCACTTAAAGTGGCTGCAGATCTGTGGTTAAGAACAAAAACCTTAAAATAAAACTCACAGTGGTCAGGATGAGGTAGCTAAGTTTCAATGATCATGATGAATATGTTCTGTAGACAATGGTAAATGTTGTATTTATTTTTTTCAGCACTTTAAATATTTTAAGCATCCCTAGGCTAACATAGGTCTATTTGTTCATCTACTCTCAGCAACAAATGTAAGTAATATCTGATTGAGTGGCATTTTTTTCTTTTTCTTTTTTTAAATAGTACTGGGGAATATAACGAGGGGCACTATACTACTGAGTTACATCCCCAGTCCTTTTTATTTTTCTTTGTGGTGATGAGGTTTGAAACCAGGGCCTTGTGCATGCAAGGCAAGCACTCTACCAACTGAACTATATCCCCAGCCCTCCCCAGCCCTTTTTATATTCTTATATTGAGACAAGGTCTCACTAAGTTGTCAAGGCCGGCCTGGAACTTATGATCCCTTTATCTTAGCCTCCTGAAGTCATTGTGATTACTGTGCCCAACTATGGCATTTTGATTTAACTTTTCATTTTAGGTGAGCTTCAGTTAGAGATAAGGGTAGGTTTAATTTATTTTTTTAAACTCAAATGAACATTTCAAGAATATTATGCAGGCATTAAATTGAAGATAATAAAGTTTTGTGAAGTAGCATACAATATTGTGTGTATATAGACACAGATTAATATATTGTAAAAAGGCAGAATATAAAATTATACTATGATTATTACTATTATTTAAAACAAACAATCTGGGCATGGTGGCGTATGCCTATAATCCCAGCAGCTCAGGAGGATGAGACAGGAGGATTGCAAGTTCAAAGCTAACCTCAAACGTGAGGTGCTAAGCAACTCAGCAAGATCCTGTCTCTAAATAAAATACAAAATAAGGCTGGGGATGTGGCTCAGTGGTCAAGTGCCAGCCCCTGAGTTCAATCCCTAGTAGCCCCCCCCCCAAAAAAAAACCACCCTTAAAACACCCCCCACCCCCTTTTCTTCCACAAACATTTTACACATTTTTCTATAATGAGGTCATATTTATTTTATCATGAAATACATAAATTTTATAAGCAAGCAAGTGAAAGAATGGTCTAGAAAGCTAATCTAAGAAAGGTCTTTGTTAACATTTCTAGAACATTTATGAAACAAAAATCCTGATTCTAGGTTATATACTCGCTACTGTCACTTCTCATCTTTACTTACCATTGAGTCACAATTCTAGAATTTTCATAATGAAAAGGACCTCAAAAACACTGAGTCTAATCTATTAATCTTACAGATGAAATCAATGAAGTCCGTCCAAACAGGCCATTTGGATTAGGCAATTTTCTTCTTCAAATAAATGAGAGCATATCATGCATGAAGTACAGCTGGAATCAAAATCACTTAAAATGGCTAACTCAACCTCATCTAATTTTGAAGGTTTCATGAAGCTAAGGGGGAAGCAGGCCTCAGATGGGCAAAGAACCACCCGTTGCTGTCCTGGAGGCCTGGCTCCCCCACATTTTCTCAAGTCTCTAGCCAATAGAATTCTCACTTAGGTGGCTCAGTGAAGTGATATACTTAGTACCAGCCTTTTGTTCAGGCTGAGAGCTCCCAGGAGCTAAAGCGCAGCCCAACTCACAGTGATACTACAGGGGAAACATGTTTACCTACTAAAGCAAGCTCTGAAACATCTGATGTGATCATCTCTCTGTGACTATACAGCACAGAAACATACTTGTCAACATGGGAATTCTACAATCAGCCAGGAGGATAAGGAATGATGGTTATTTATGAATTTCAAGATTTAAATGTAAATCAAAACTGTTTTCTAAGTTTTTGCATATCTTTATGCCCCCAGAGAGAAACAAATTTTTCATCTCCATAGTTTTTACAGGAATATAAATCTATACGGATAAGAAGTTTATTGAGAGAGGCTTAAAGTGTTCTCTTTCATCCAAATTAAATTTCTTCTATTCTTGAAGATCTGCTGAATCTAGAAAAGACTTTGTGAGAGGACAGTTGTATAGAATTTCAAAAAGAGACATCTACAGTGTATGCATGTCAAGTCTCAGCAAAAAATTAACTTTGATTGCCATGTACAGAGTGTAATATATCCACAGAATAACGCAGAAACCCATGCCATTATACATAGAAATTGGCTATCTACTTACTGTTTGAGATTTCTTCTTTTTCTTTTTCATTGACCTGAAAAAGCCTTGCTTCTCCTTTTCCTTGAGTTGATCAGAATGACTAATATTTTCGGGACTTTTCCTAAATGAGAAGACATTTTTATCATATTGATCTTTCAATCAATCTCTTGCCAGTGTGTGACCAGCATAATGAAGACTAAAAATGCACGACACCAGGTGCAAACAGCCATGAAGAATCAAGCACACAGGTAAAGGTCCTCGAAAAAAGCACAGGAGGAACTGAATCTAATCAACCATAGTTAATGGGTATTTTTCAGCACAGGCTCACTCACACTAGCAATTTGGGCACTATTACAAATGATCTGTAACTATGCTGCTGGACCATTTTCATGCTGCTGAAAGCCTTAGAATTAGAGATTCTGAAAAGTGCACAGCTTAGAGGATGCCTTTTCTGTAACTCTCCAAGAAAAGAGCAGAAACATTTTTAATACCTTCATTTTTCTATTTACCTTTTTAAAAACAGTTCAACGAGTTTATTATTAGCAGCTTGCCAAGATATTGAACATTAAAAAATCAATGCTGCTACAGAAACATTACAAATAAAAAAAAATGGCCTGACACTGGAAAATTCCTCTCTATTAAACCTTTTATACATTTATTAAAGCTAAATAAAAAAATACTTAAAAACATAGATAGGATGAATGCTTTAATACAAAGTGCTCATGGAAAGAAAAAGCTTCTAACTGAAAACACTGACATTAAGCTTAATGCCATGGATAACACCAGGTATTTTAATAAAAATAGAAGATACTTAAAAGATAGAAAATAATGCCATGGCCTCAAAAAGATGCCTATACTTGTATGTTGAAAGAGGACTTATATTAATTTAACTTACACTCTTTAAAAAGCAACTTGATTAGTGTTATTCTTGAAGAACTCACATTTCATGGACCCTACTTTTAATTTCAATAACTATATGACTGTGCAGAGCCTTTTTCTCAAATGATTGGATTTCTTTTATAAGCTATTATTTAAAATTGAGAGTAAAAGTGACTGCTTAGTGGCACAGTGACCATTTCTTCTTAAGCATTTAGTCTAAAACTTAATGGGAATGGCCAAGAAGTAAAAACTGGTATGGTAGGTCCAAGTGTTCCAGAAACTTACTGGGACTTGCAATTTTAAACATCACTGAGAGTTCCAAGTTGTGAAATAAAAGTTTTGTTTTTAAACAAATCATGACACTTCAACCCGAAACTACAGCCAGAAAACTTCAGGCATAGCCAGGTGCAGTGGCGCATGCCTGTAATCCTAGCAACTTGGGAGGCTAAGGCAGGAGGATTGCAAGTTTGAGGCCAGCCTCAGCAGCTCAGCATGATCCTGTCTCAAAATAAACAAGGCTGGGGATGTGGCTCAGTGGTAGAGTGCCCCTGGAATCTATCCCTAGGTACCCCCCGCCAAAAAAAACCCAAAGTTCAGACATGATGAAATGAGCAAGAATGGGGTAATGGGGTGGTAGAAAGTTAAAGATTCTTTAGATGCAGTGTAGTACTATAAAGGAAAACAATCTCAACATGAATGAAATTTCAGAAGGGGAAGGCATTACTCTAAGAATATTAACTCTGGCAGGAGAGGAAAGGAAGGATGAGACACCAGTTCTAGGAAAAGAAGGATTTTTCCTGGAAAGAGGAGAGTCTGTCCAGGATGAAAAGGAGAATAAGATGAAAGGGAGAGTTGAAGCTGGGAGGGTAATGAAAGAGGAGAAGGAGTGGGGAGGAAACAGCTCAGAGTCTGAAGTTAGGTGTTGTAGAGTTGAGTTGAGGGAAGATGGATCAAAGACCCTCTCTGGGGGCTGGGGATGTGGCTCAAGCGGTAGCGCGCTCGCCTGGCATGCGTGCGGCCCGGGTTCGATCCTCAGCACCACATACAAACAAAGATNGTAGCGCGCTCGCCTGGCATGCGTGCGGCCCGGGTTCGATCCTCAGCACCACATACAAACAAAGATGTTGTGTCCACCGAGAACTAAAAAAAAAATAAATATAAAAAAAAAAAAAAAAGACCCTCTCTGTAAGGTCTCTTCAAAGGGTGCTGGGTAAACAGTCCAGAAGGGATAGGAGGAATGATGAGGAAAACAGTTTTGAGCTGAAGCCGAGTGGGTGGTGGGGCTCAGATCTAGGCTGTGAAAAATCATAGAGGCCAAAAGAAAAAAGGTAATAAATTACCCCTGAACCAGATGAAAGCTAGGATTGAAACATGTGTATGTTTGCATCACAAAAGACAGACTGAAGACAGTGAAAAAAAACAAATCCAGAGGGAAACTACACCAAACATACATACCTAGATAATTCACAGAGCAACAGAAAAAAGCCAGAGGGGGGGGGGGAGATACAGAGAGAGATATATAGAGCAGAGGCCCAGAATATAGGCACTTGAAAAGCTATATGGTGTACTAAGGATGGAAAAAGAAGCCTCGAACATGGGAGTGAGTCAAACACGCAAGAGTGTGGCTGACCATTTTCCTCATCTGTGCTCTGTGGTCCCTGTGATTCTACCCAGTACAGACAGCAGTTTCATGTTAAATAGGGCAAAGAAGAGCAGCATTAATCTCAGGGATGTACGCTTTGAGAAAGATCACCCCTCCAGGCACCTGGCACATTATTGGGGGCAGCAGCTCCCAAAAGAACAGTGCATATATGGGGGGAAGGGGGGGCAAATGGTAAACAGGTGACTTCCTTTACAGTCATGTGACTCCAATGTCATCTAACACAACAGCAATTTCCATAATCAGTCAAGGAGAAAGAGGAAATTCCAAAGGGAGGAATGAAAACCAAAACCTACTTAATCAAAATCAGCCAACATTTACTAAGTACTTTTTAGGTGCTAGGCCCTGTGTTAGGTGTCAGAGACATAGAGATAAATCAAAAAGGAGCCTGACCTCATTAAAGCTGCTCCCAGACTCACAGGGAAAGAGGATGAGATGGAGATGAGGCAGCAGGGTCAGCCATAGAGGCTTTAGTAATCCTTCTGGAAGCAGCATGGAAGGCGAGTTGAAGAGGTGAGAGGCATTACTCTGTGATTCTTTCCCTGCCTCCTCCCCTCCCCTGGCAGCATGACTAGGGTGGTCAGCTAATGTGTGAGAGGAGAGAGCTATAGTGAACGATTCCATAGGAGTAATTCTTAAAGTTAGGTGACAAGATATAATGGATACAATATATCTATAACTTTATATGAAAAAAGAGAGTCTGGGATTATGTTAAGTAAGTTACAGCAATTCTTCACTTAAATAGTGGGATTTCAAATTAATTTACTATTTCAAGTGTCATTTAACCCAATTTTGATGGCAGTCTTTCTAAACATTTATACAATTTGTCTTTTTTAAAAAAATTTTTATAGTTGTAGATGGACAGCATGCCTTCATTTTATTTATTGTTGTATGTGGTGCTGAGGATGGAACCCAGTGCCTCACCCATGCTAGGCAAGTGCTCTGACACTGACCTACAGCCCCAGCCCCAGCCCCAATTTGTCTTTTTAAACAGAGTAAATATTATCTATTTTATAACATACACTCTAAGTGGATATCTATGATGTGCATAATTTTCTCACTGGGGGCCTAAGACAGAAACACCTGCTTTTCTGTACACCTACTGTTCGTGATGCTGCTTCTTCTGCACATTGCATTGTTACCTGGGACTGTTTCTTGCCCTGATAACCTCAGCACCAACTGCTAGAATTAGGCATAATAGACAAACAGGCTCCAAGTAAGGGTAGAGGTGTCATCCTATTAGTAAAGATGATGAATCTGGCTGCACAGACTCTCTTTTTCTTGTTCTGAGATATCCTGGCTCATCTGTCAGTTCTTAAGTGGGTTCAAGGCAGCTAAGGTGGCCGGAATAACAACAACTCTGGGTATTATACCACAATATCTATTTGTTGTTTTAAAAATATGACATAGTAGCTTCATTTTTTTTCATTGCAGACAAAGTGTACACTGTACAAATATTCTCTTCCCCAAAGAAGTTTAAAGTACTGTTATACAGGAGAAACAGGCTGCCCTTAGATTACTGGATCAAATAAGATATGTTATATGAAAGAGATGTGTTATAGCAGCATTATCAGGAGGGGTTGGCAGGGGGCAAAAGAAGAGAGCCAATTTACTACTGCAATGCTGGAACCCTCTCAAGCCTCAAATCAGCAATATCAGAGCAAGGAATACTCGATGAAGACTTGGCTAAAGTTCAATGTCCCAATTGTGCCTCTGATTCTCCTAAAACAACTGATTTCAGGTTTATCCATATATCCATATCTAAAGTTCTACTACTCAAGTGGATTATCAAAAGGACAGAAATGAGGAGCTGGGGGAGCAGCTTAGTGGTAGTGCATGTGCCTAGCATATGCCACGCCCTGGATTCATTCCAGCACCAAACCAAACCCAAACCACCTTCTAAAAAACAAAAACCAGAAAAAGACATAATAATATTACTGACTATCACACTTTGGGATTTAAAATTTTTTTAAATAATTTTTTTAGTCATAGATGGACACAATACCTTTATGTTTTATTTTTATGTGGTGCTGAAGATTGAAAGCAGTGCCTCACATGTGCTAGTAGGCAAGCACTCTACCACTAAGCTACAACTCCAGCCCCTAGATTTAATTTTGATTCTGACCTAGCTTTCACATGACTATGGTAATCTGTAATTGATTCTTTTTTCTTTTGGTACCTGGATTGAACCCAGGGGTGCTTTACCACTGAGCTACAGCCTCAGCCTTTTTTTTGTGTGTGTGTGTGTGTGTGTGTGGTGCTGGGGATTGAACCCAAGGCTTTGTGCATGAGAGATAAGCACTTTACTGAGCTATATATGCCCAGCCCCCATTTATTGTTTTTTAAATATATTTTTTAGTATTGATGAACCTTTATTTTATTCATTTATTTATATGTGGTGCTGAGAATTGAACCCAGTGCCTCACACATGTGAGGCAAGCACTCTTCCACTGAGCCACAATCCCAGACCCAGTTTTTTTTTTAATATTTATTTTTTTGTAGTTGTACACAATAACTTTTATTTATTTTTATGTGGTGCTGAGGATCGAACCCAGGGCCTTGCACATGCAAGGTGAGCGCTCTACCGCTGAGCCATAACCCCAGCCCCCCCACCATTTTTTTTGAGACAGGGTCTTGCTAAGTTGCTTGGGGCCTTCCTAAGTTGCTAAGGCTGGCTTTGAACTACGATACTGCTGCTTTAGTCTCCAGAGTTGCTAGGATTACAGATGATTACAGGTTCTAGGATTACATGGTGGTGACCATGCCCAACAACTGATTCTCTTCTAAATTATCACCACTTCATTGACCAAAAAAACTCTATTCCTTCCAACCATATTAATGTATTCTCATACTTTAGACAATATTTTCAGGGCTCATCAAAGCTACATCTGAGAATAGTTAACACTGGTACCTGTGCTCTAGGGTTAATGCACATTAAATCTCTACACCCCAGGGAGCACAAAACAGCCACAAAGAGGCAGAATGCATGAAAGTTTACTGGCAAAGTTAGGTGGAGGGGAAACACTTAACAAGTCAGAGTGAAGCTATATGATACTAAGCATAATAACTGCAGCCACTAACATTAATGAGCCCATAAGGTGACAGACACTGTTCTGGGTAATTTTTATGAGTTACCTCATTTAATTATCACATGAACTCTATGAGGGAATTGCTATTTTTTTTTTTTTTTAACCCTGCAGTGCTGGGAAATCGAACCCAGGGCCTTGTGCATGCTGAGCACTATGCTTTTCCACTGAACTATATCCTTGGCCTGGGAAGTGCCTCTGCTTAGCCCTATTTTACAGATAAGGAAACTGAGGGGCATATAAAGTTATAGGGTTAAAAGTTGACATCAGAGCTGGAGTCGTGGCTCAGTGGTAGAGGGCTTGCCTACCACATGTGAGGCCCTGGGTTTGATCCTCAGTGCCATATAAAGATAAATCAATAAAATAAAGGTATTATATCCATCTACAACTACAAATAAATAAATAAGTTGACATCAATCATGATATCTTACTTCCAGTGTAACTTTTAGTCTGTTAGGACTCTACTACATATGATACAAAAAGAAAAAGGATAAGAAAATTTACCACAACATTTGAACCTTTTTAGGGTAGCATATGAAGAACTGTTCTTACTTCTGACTTTTTACCATGAATGAAAGGCAGGTGGTACGAAGATGAAAACTACAAGCTTTGGAGTCAGAACCCATTTAGGTCTAAATTTGGGCTCCCACATCCATGTGACTGACTATCCAGCATCAGGAAAGTTCCTTGACTTCCAAGCTTCCGTTTCTATAAAATGGGGGTAATCCCTACTCCAAAGGGCAGTTGCGAGAATGGACTGAGACAATGTACAAGTGCAAAGCAAAGTATGCGGTACAATGTCAATAAAGGGAAGCGACAAATATTATCATTCATATCACAAAAAATACAATGGAAAATTATCAGGTATTTAATGATGTATGAGTTTTTTTCTTTTAAATGATATTTAATATAGATGTTTAACTTAAAAAAAAAAGACAAATAATGACAAATTATGTCTTCCTTGTCTAAAAATCTTTCGAGAGAGAAAGGCCAAGCAGGAGAAATAATGCTAACGTTTATCCAGAATTTCTTTGCATTCTTGAATCTATAATTCGAAAAAAGAAGATAAAACTAAATCAAAACACTCACCATGGATCAAATGCTGGTTGTCTTTTTGAGTGATTGGTTCCAGAACTGCTTTCAGATGGTAGGGAAGAAACTCTGGTTGACACGTTATTTTCATGGAAAGAATTGTCTGGTCGTGGAGAAGGCACTGAATAAAGAAAAACTAAGTTACTGATGTACAGATATACTCTTGGTCAAAGCAGTTCTCATGTCATTTTATTGCATTTTCTTGGACATAAAACAAACAAACTAACTAAAGAAATAGATGAGGAAAAATCCTCATCTCCCTTTTGCAAAACTTTCATGTCTTCTGAGGTTGGAGGCTTTCCAGGGAACATTCTCCCTACTTCACTGCTTGCAGCAAGGGTCAGTTAACATAGGGCAACATGTACTTCACAACAGAAACCTAATCTTTCAACTGATATAGGATATTTAAAAGCCCCCACCCCACTGATCTAAGTTCAGGCTTTCTTATTATAGACCCAACCTACTTCTTAGAAGTAATTTTAACAACATTTGTGCTGAAAAATATAAACTCCAGTTTAAGCCCAAACACTTGGAAGGCAGTGTCACTCATATTTTTTAAGCTAAATTACAAAGAAGTTTTGTTAGTGCACAAAAATAGTATCTTTCTCTACATTCTCATTTCAAGAATGAACAGAAAACTAAACTACAATGTAGGTAAGTAGATACTTTTCTACTTTTAGGGAGGGGACAGTTACTAATTTTTTCCATGAATTTCTAAGCTTGGTCATAAATCAAAATATACTGTAAATTTCTTTGTAAAAGTAATATACAGAATGTATATCAAGGTAAGTGATAGATTTTACTTGACTCTTTTAATATATATTTATTTATGTTGGACACAATATCTTTATTTTATGTGGTGCTGAGGATTGAACCCAGGGCCTCACATATGCTAGGTGAACACTCTAATGCTGAGCCACAACCCCAGCCCTTCACTTGACTCTGGACCAGTAGGAATGAAAACAAGAAGTATTCTTGTGTATGATACAAGTATTTTTTTTTTTTGAGAGAGAGAGAGAGAGAGAATTTTTAATATTTATTTTTTAGTTTTCGGTGGACACAATATCTTTGTTTGTATGTGGTGCTGAGGATCGAACCCGAGCCGCATGCATGCCAGGCGAGCGTGCTACCGCTTGAGCCACATCCCCAGCCCCAAGTATTCCTGTGTATGTTTTTATTTTGGAAATAAAAACAACACTGATGGTAGAATGCTTGCCTTGCATGTACAAGGCCATGAGTTCAATTCCCAGCAACAAATAAAAGAAGGCTGCAGTGACTCTTGAAGGATTTGCAAGGCAGAGCCTCCTACCTGTAGGCTTATTGTCCTTTCTCCACCAGGATGCTAGTTCCCAAGGGTTTTAGTTACCACTCCAAAGGGTTTGTCTTTCTCTATCAATGTCCCCTAAGTTCATATAATCCCAGATGCACATTTCAGTCAACTGTTAAACATCATATTTTCAAGGCTGTGCAATATTTTTAAGGCTGTGCAAGTAGAAAACACACTTGAAATTTTCCTTTAAATCAAACAATAAATATTTATGAAACGGTGCCCTGTCAGTATGCTAATCAAAAGAAGAACAGATGAAGAGAAATCAGATTTTTTTTTTTTTTTTTTTTTTTTTTTTTTTTTTGCAGTACTAGGGGTTGAATCCAGGCCTCCCATAATCTGGGTGAGTGCTCTTTAAATGAGCTACACCCCCAGTCGAAGAACTCAGCATCTCTGAGAGGCTTACAACCTTCTGAGAGAAATACAGACAGAGAATGAGCACAATGTGGTCTGCATTGTATAAGAGGCATGGTACTGTGAGTAGGACAGAGGAGGAAATACTTCATCTAGGGTGGGTAGGGAAGATCTCACACGAAGAGGACTATAAAGAAAAAGACAGGAACAAGCTCTTCAAACAAGGGAAGATGAATGTGTTTCAAGCCATTAAAGGGCATGGCCTGTGCAAATCCCACAGGCTGGGTACCAGTCAGACTTGGCAGCGAGACCACAGACAGTCTGGAATGCCATTTTAGACAATTCAGATTTTGTCCTGATGCCAATGGGAAGCCATCAAGGGCCTTTCAACAGGTGAGAATTAGGGTTTTGGGGGTGGGGGTAATGGATTACATTTACTGGCAATCTTTCCTGAGAATGTGAGCTCCATTAGGATGGAGATCTTTAGCTGTCTTGCCCATTGACATATTTGTTCTAAGCTAGACTAGTACCAGGTACACAGGTGACATTCATAAGTATTTTATGACTAAATGGAATGAATGAGTGGTATGGTCAGAATGCAACTTCAGAAGGATTATTTCAGGGACTATTTTGATGGGTACCTTGGAGACGGGAAGGTTAGGAAGCTCAAGCCCAAGGCAGAAGGTAGGAGGGCCTGAACGAAGACAAAGGCAGAGAATTGCTAGAGGTGACAGTGCAGGCAAGAACGTTGCAGGTCTGAAGTCAGTCAGGGTGTGGAAAATGTAGTGCAGGGCTTGGGCTAGAGATGCACTCCTCAGAGAAAAGAGGAGGATCCTGCTTAATGCTGGGGGTGGCTTACCTCTATAAAAGCTGCCAACTCTTCTGGGGACAGGATCATTGTACAGATGTCTGTTTTCTTTGGGGGCTGTGCCATCGTCAGAATGTGGGTCATGATACGCTCCACCCTAAGGCAGGAAACAAGTTTATAGAAGTTAAACCACAGACTGATGACAGTGTCACCTATGAGGTCAGACCAGAGCCCAATCAATCGATAATTTCGTCCAGGATCTTTTTAAAAGAAAACCCAAGACAATGCCATGAGGAAAATGGCTTCCTTTAGAAGGCAGTCTAACTTATTTGTGAGAGGTTGGGTATGAATAAAGTTTACCAGCTAGGCTGTAATGACGCCGAGTGAACAATCTGTACAGACCATCCTATAGTAAAACATAGCAACTCGGGAAGAATTCAGACCTCAGACTTTTGACGAGTGTGGAATGAAGAGGTGCCTTCTCTGGAGGACTCTTTGACAGAAGGTCTCGCCACAGTCATCTCTGGAGGGAGCTGTTCTCCAGGCTGAAAGTCAAATTCAAAAAGATTTATACGAGCATCCTATTCCTACAGATGAAAATCAACATGGTCTTTATTTAGTAAACTGGGGACTAAATCCAGGGGTGCCCTACCCCTAAGCTACATCCTTAGCCCTTTATATTTTGAGAAAGGGTCTTGCTAAATTGTCTAGGTTGACCTCGAACTTGTAATCCTCCTGCCTCAGCCTCCCAAGTAGATGGGATTACAGTGTGTGACACTACACCTAGCCTAGTATAACTAGTACCTTAACTGGCTAAAATTAAAAAAATGTTGTCTAAAACATAAATTGTCCCAGGAAAGAGTGAATCATCTGATGAATATAAAATAAGCTGAACAAATTTCAACAGATGGAAAGCGAAATTCTCATTAAAGTTAAGGCAAGCAAGGAATAAATTAATCTGAAAATAGTCCAATTAATTATTAAAAACAAAAACAAACAACAAAAGAAAACTCTTTCTAATATCTAGATGTCATGGTTCTGAGCAGCACTATGGTTGTCTATTAGTCAATCCAAAAGTCCTCTAGCTGATTTTAGGCTGAGTTCTCTAAAAAGAACTGTCCAGAACCAAAATTATTTTTCAGAAAGAACTCATATAGCCAATTCAAATGAAAATAAATGCTTCTTGAATGAATCAAGGAATAAGTCCTCTTATTAATTTTTGTCTTGAAAGTCCCTAAATCCCATAGTCTATGTGCTTTAAATTTTCTTCTTGTCTCCAGGATAACAGCACTTGGGTTCTCTGTATTTCTCAGCCATAATGATGACAGTGCCCCTTTCTGGAGTGGCTATTACTACCTAGCTCTATCAAAAAAATGAGTCACAGCCTCAACACAACACTTGATCTACAATGGTACCCAACGGGGACAATTTTCACATTTTCTACACTTTAGAAAAAACGATTAAGGAATGCATTACCAGCTCATTAGGAGGAGTTAGTTGAATCATATAGGTGTATATTAAGGCACAGAAAGAGTATTAGCTCAAGCCTAGGTGAGATATAAAAAATGTTTTATTTAAAATCTAAAATATGGGGGCTGGGGTTGTGGCTCAGTGGTCGAGTGCTTGCCTAGCATGGATGAGGCACTGGGCTTGATCCTCAGCACCACATAAATGTAAAATAAAGATATTGTGTTCACCTAAAACTAAAAAATAAATATTAATAAAATAAAATCTAAAATATGATTCTGTTTTTCTGCCCCTCACTTTCTGGGGTATTTGGAGGACGGCAAGAATTTCCACAGTGCTGCCTTTCTTCTTTCTGCTTTGTGACACAATCTTATTTGACTCTTACCACCTATGCTGCTGACAAGGGCCTCTGGAAAAATATTTTAGAAAACAAGTTTTTTGTGTCTAACCTAAAGGTGGTCACATACTTTGCATGATTCCTATGATTCATTCACAGCTTTCATTACCTTTCAAGCCTTCTGCCACCTTTGCTCCTTTAAATGTGTACTTTGCTGCAGCTTGGTTCTGCACCTCCTGAACTGGACTTCAGTAACAGTTGGATCTGTACTTAGCCCACACTAATTGCTTATAATTAGCTTAGGACAACCACGTTCACAAAAATCATTTTTTTTTTTTCCTGAATTCACCAAGAGCCAATCATTTGTCCTTTTCCCAAGCGAAACCATCTTTTTTTTTTTTTTTTCTTACTTCTCTGATACTATGCCTACTGCCAGCACACTTTACCTGGTTTTGACCTCCATCTCATGTCTATGGGCAGATGGGTCCTAGAGATCTTTCCATGTTCTTGAAGTTCTCTTCTCTCTACAGCAACTCCTCAGGGCTCCTCTGACCATTCCTGTGACTCCATTTATGGCCTCTGCAAACTGGTACCTCATGCCCTCCCCTCATCTGGCCTTTCCAGCTTCTTAGAGCATACCTGGGGACCTGAAGACTGTCTCAGAATCCCAGGATCCACCTTGCTCTAGTTGGGTAAACTTGGGTGACTCACCTACCTTCTCTGAGTCTCTGAGAGATGAAGGTAGTGACTTAATGGGCTGTAAAAATTCCCTCTCCCACTGGGAAAAGGAAAGGAACGCCTAGGAAAGAAACCTTCAAGCTTCCATTTCCCTATACTCAACCCTGCAACTTGAAAGACCACTTGTTTCTACTTCTGAGCAGTTATTAACATCCATACTGTTTTCCCACTGGCATTCACTCAGTCCTGAACACACTCTCCTCATGTGTGCATGACTGCAAAAGCCACTCCAATTCTTGCATTTTCCCCTCCAGGAACATGAAGCCAGTTGCAATTCCTGCAGCACACTATGCTATGTCAGGTCTCTGTCACCCTCTGCCCCCTTGGAATGTTTTTCTTCTTCTTCGCTTCTTTCAAGCCCCTTTCCTGCTGTTGCCCTCACTTTCATCCCCAAATGAAATCCTAACCCTCTTGGAGGACTCTACTCAGATGCTGCCTCCTTGGGGAGCCTCCCACTGCCCTGCCTGGACTGCCACACTGCTTCCTCTCCCTTTGGAACACATGTGTGTCTCTAGTACAGCAGCTGGAACTCGACCCCACAGCATCAGAGTGACTGATCTGTTGGCAAGTGTGATCCATGCTAGCCCACAAACTCTAAGAGGACAGTGACCCTGTCATTCTCCTCTTTCTAACTAGGGCCTCTCGTGGTGCCTGAGCGCATATTCACTCTTCAACCACTCAGCACCTGTCTATATCCTCACCAGAGCAAACCTGCCCCCAAAAGCCATTTCTGACTGCTGCTGCTCACAGCGATCTTTCCTTGTTCTCAATCCTACTCCTAGCCAGTGCCATGTGAACGTAGGCCTTAATTATACCTTAATTATTTCATTGTCAGCATGTATAATTGAATCTTTCCTGAGAAAAGCTAGTTTCTCAAGGGCAAGAACTCTATTTGGGACTCTCTGGAGTACCTGGGAACAACCAGCACCAAGACGATGTTCACTGAGTAACAGCTCCCACCATCACAAAGGAGCAGCAGGAATAGCTAAAGTTTGTTAGACACTTGCCCTCTGCCAGGCACTAGGCACAGTGCTTTATACATGAGATCATGAAAATATGATTCAAAAATGTGTTCTATTATAGTAATGCTACTTCTTTAAGCAGGTTAGTCTCAGTTCTAGAGTCTGATGATGAATAAGATGGAAAAACATTATGCTAAAATTATTGCCTGACGATTTAGACACAACCCATAAAGTCCGAAAATTAACATTTATCCTGGCCTGAAGTTAAATGTAGTTCTGGATAAATTAAAGACTTTTAAATTCAGTAAAGATATTGAAGAAAGCCTTAGAAAAAAGGTTTGATTTAAGCAAATGTGGTTTAGACTGATTACAGAAAATACCCATGAATTCACACTGAATTTTGAGAAAACTAAAAGCTAACCCATATAGCTGATGAGTTCTGTAATAAATCAAAATAGGATTCTTTCAACAAAATATGCCAGAAGGGAACATTTAAGAAAAGAAACAGATTACTAAAAACAAACTTTTACATTCTTTTGAGTACTCAACAGTTGATTTAATTTTTTTTTTTAACACAACAGTCCAGTATTGCTTCTTTGTATTCACTCTACCAAAGAAAGCATGGCCTCCTACAGTAGGTAAAATTGCAGACTGACCCTGAAAGCATCCCTTGTACCCCCTTTTCCCATGATGAGCCACCAGACTGGGTCAAGGTGCTGAGCTGTACCTGAGGTGATAAGAGTTGTAGGCTGTTGGCTCTGGCCGCCATCCCTTGCCCTATGCTCAAGCTTCCGTCCAAGCCTTTGGCTCTCACTTTGTCCCGGGTCACATACATGGAATGCCTATGAGGACGCTGTTGAGAAGAGAAGGGGCTGGTATAGCCTAGCCCATAAGAGAAGGACTCATGAGGTGCAGACAGCGAATGGGAATGGCTGCTGTCCATGTGTTCGGGCAGCTTCAACTCCTCCATTGTTTTGGAATGCCTAGTTGTGGTTCTGCGTGAGTCCAGAGTGCCCTCATTTCGATTATTTCTCCCTGAAGGGCTGAGTAAAGTTCTCGTGTCACTGTGCCTGGTGGGAGTTGGGCTGGTGGGAGAGTTCAAGTCCAAGCAGCTGGATGGGAAGTACCTACTGGTATTGGTATCTGTGATTTGAGCCCTGGTTTCGGAAAGGTTGCTCACAGATTTGGAGTCACTCAATGCCCCATGGCTTTTGGCCTTGGTCCTGTAGGAGGGACTCCTGGAGGACTGGGGAATGGTGTCAATGTAGCTGTGCCGACTCTGCTTTTCACTAGGCTGCAGTGTCCCAGCTTTGCTCTGAGAGCTTTCCATGAATGAGTGTCGGTTCTGTTGAGATCTGCTGCTGGACTTGAGGTACTTTGTGCCTGGGCCTTCTGAAGGCTTCGGATCAATATTAAAGTCAAACTCTGTTTTGGACTTGGCTTCTTTTGGACTGAGAAGATGTGGTATGTTGTTGTTGGTGAGATCTTTGCTGGCAGACCCAGGCTGGGTGCTTGCTTGGTAGGTTTTGGTGTGCATTGGACTAAGAGTAGCTCCAGCAAGGTTTCCATTCAGGAAGCTTTCATTGGCAGGAAGGCCTTCGTCAGCCCGGGGTAGACCCACACTTAAGTTCTGAATGTCCTTGCTGTTGGATCTATGGTGAGACTGTAAAGCAGCACCTTTGCTGGCTTGGTTTCTATGTTAAAAACAAAAGAGGTACATTGGTTTCCTTCAATAGCTGGCACACACAAAGTATCACATTAAGAAAGAAAGAAAGAAAGAAAAGAACACATATTTAAAACACCTCAGTGACTAAAAAACATTAACTCTCTCAAACATGTGCTTACCAATAACAAGGAACCTATCGATAAGAATAAGTCCCTCAGACTAATTCACTCTGCAACAAAGCACTAGTCCTGATGAAGTTATTATTGCATCTGTAACTGCTCAACTAACTTGCTGCCAACACAGTTTCTAACTGATAATCTGGTAAAACATGCTTTTACTCTGTTGGCTGCTATGAGTGTTCATTATAGAATATCTGCTAAGGAGAAGAAAGCTGAGATGTAGACAGACTCCCTATCACTCTTTTATCCGCTTGAATGTCAGAAGGCAACACTTAAGACTTGAAGGTTACTGTGTTCTCTGAACTTGATTTTTGTTTGTAAAACATGTAGCTTGCATCAGAAATACATACTCATAGCACACAGACACCAATATCTCTTTAGTCTTTAACTTGCAGAGTTAAAGAATGAGAATTCCAGTACTCATTAAAAGAAAATGACACTCTAAAAAGAAATGCAAACTGCTCAGTGAGGTTTGTTAGTGTTTATGTTTTGGAGAAGAGGCAATTACTTAGGGCTCTTTGGCTATCTCCTTGTACACAAGACAGGAGTGAGTGAGTCACTAACTGATCAGATACCTTTGTGTTGGCTAAATAAGAAGCCTATACTGGATCCTAGGAATCTGGAAATGTTAACTGCTTATCAAAGGATACAATTTAGTCTCTTCATTTTACATGTTGTTACTTCAAACTGACTCAAAGCTTCATTTCCTACTTGGCTTAAAATACAAACTATCAATCCAAAGGAAAACCTTGACCTCTATCTAAAACCTGAAAGTAACACCATAACAAGTTTAGTTTTATTTATTAAGTAACTCTTTTAAAGGACCTGATAAGGGCTTGGGATAGGTTAGAATGTTTCAAAATGAATGAATTACACAATTTTCTTTTTACTATGTATTCAGAAAACGTTGTAAATATCACTATTGCTAAAGATGGTTTGATTGGGGAAAGTTTTGTTCCCATTACATGCTCTCACCAGAAGATTCTGGCGATTTTTTTTTTTTTTTAATTAATGTAGAATGCTAACCTGTGAAACTGTGCCTTCTAATTTTCCCTGTAAGAATCTGCATGTTCAGGCATCAAATGTAAGGGCCCTTTTCCTATCATATTTTTTAAAATTTATTTTAATTCTTTTAGTTGTAGGTGGACACAATGCCTTTCTTTTTATTATTTTATGTGGTACTGAGGATTGAACCCAGGGCCTCATGGCCTTGCACACACTAGGCGAACGCTCTACCACTGAACCACAACCCCAGCCCTTTCTATCATATTTTTCAGATGGTCTTCCCCAGCAGAAATCTGAGAGCATTAAAAAGGAAAATCTTATATTAAGCAAGCCTATAATAGTGTGGAAAGTTCATCTCCTAAATGCACTCACTAATCTCTCCCAGTAAGGTCACAAGAATTGCAGCATTAAATAAGGACACTTAAATTTGAGTTGACCAAATGGCAAATCTCAGACCTAGAAAGAAATCAGGAAGATAAGAAAAGTTTTACTTTCTTTTGAATAATGTCATTAAAATCTATCCCCAGATCAATAAAGGAGAGTCCCTGTATCCTAAAGGCATCAGGCTTTAAAACCATTAGAGTTGTCAACTGAATCTTGCTAACTAAAATATCTCAGTGACTTTTCAAAAACCCAAAAATGATAAGACAGTCTTATACATGAATAGATCTAAGTGTGTTGGTTATTTATTATTTATCCAGTTACCAATCTGTTCTTCACTCCTCTGGCTGGTCCTGGGCCCAGACTGTGTTCCCTAGGCTTGCAAACTGGCGACCTTCCAATAGGGCTTAGCAGGGGAAAGTATCACAAGACCAGAGGAGAAAGAAGCCAGGGGAGGTCTTCCTTGCTCCTTCCTGGCAGTGATGCCCTGACTCAGATCCTAGCTGTGTCCCTCCCTCCAGATGACAGCTTCTGCAGGGTAGCTCCTCCTGCAAAGCTCCGGCTGTCACTAGGCCTTGGAACCCTATTTCCTCTCTTTCTCCTTCAGGCCTAGAGAGAGTAATGGCAGAAAGATAAAACACGCAGATATTGGGAAATGTCTCAAACCTAAAAAAGGATGAGAAGGGGACAGAGAACAATAAAGACAGCTGCTAGAGCTTCTGTCAGCTTCTGGAACTGCTAGAATCACTATTATTAATGTTGAGCACAATTCAACATGGGATGTTATACATATTCACAGCAACATAAGATATAATTTCTAACTGAAAAGAAAGGCTAAAAGTTAAGGCAGAAACATTTGTCAAAGTTTTAGGTTTTTCCATGAATGTACAAAGAGTCTAAATCGCTATTCTGATTAATTGGAAGTAATTGAGCTTTGTACATAGTATAATTCCTATATAGAAAGGGCATCATATTATCTTCAAATTGGAGCTCTGCCAAAGCATAACAATAAAATACAGCTTTGAAAATTCCATAGATCTCTTTGACATACAACTGTAAAGAATCTGTTTTAAACTGCCAACCACATAAGGAGATTTTATATATAAACTGCTCTTAAATGATTGGCAGGATGGATGGATGGATGGATGAATGGATGGATGGTTGGTTAGTATATTATGTAAAATAAGTTTTAAAAGGAAACACAAAGGCACAAAGCTACATTATTAGGGGAACATTGGCAATGCAGAACCAGTGAGAGAGGAGCAAGGACATGCTGAAGCACCATCATGTAATCGGAGGTTTTTCCTCTGATAATGAATCTAAGGAGAGCCCCAATGAGACAGGCAGGGGACTGGGTAATGCCCGAGTCCATTGCTGCCTATAGAGAAAAGAACTTGGAAGACAGGGTATGTGAGAGTGTATATGCTTCCAGGGATAGGGCAGCGGAACATGTAAGCAGCGACCAATGGATATAGTGATTATGAGTGGAAAATATCCTGAGAAGTCCAAAGGAGCCACGGTCTGTGATGAGATCCAAGCTAGAATTAGTGTTCCTGACAAGAACTCTACTTATTCTGTGGAGTAAGTATGGACTACAGACAAGAATGGGAAGAAAGCCCTAAGATGAGGTAGGATTATTAACAGAAACCATTTAGGACTTTTTATTTAAGATATTCAACAGAGTGTCAAGACCTGGAAATAAACTCTTTCAGAAATATCTATGTACTTATTTTCTCATGTCATATACTTCAAAATAGGATTTGGGAGGATTCCTCAAAGATTCATACAAATCATCTCCTCTGAACCTCCTGCAAACACCTCCTTAAAAGACACTTAAAGAGGATTCCCAAGGACAGCCTCAGGTCCTCACTGAGGTTAACTCCAAGAACTCTCTCAAGTAAGTCACTACAAGACAAATGCACAGGCCCCTTCCAAATATGGTTACACTACTAATGTCTATGGCACAAATCACAAATTTATCATCAGTCTACTGTACTTTATATAATTGGGAAATTTTCTTTGTAAATGTACACTGTAGACAATTCAGGTATAAGGGAAACAAAAGAACCTGAATCGAGAGTGACCCCAGAGAAGACACAGAAATAATCTGAACCTGCCAAATGCAAAGGAGAAACCAGATGATGACTACTATTCCTTACTTAGTGTACTAAAATCTCATGGAAGCAAACAACAAACAAGCTAAGAATGGTCTGTAAGATGCAAGGGGAAACAACTGAAATCAGTCATTTAAAGAAGAGTAAACAGTTCTGAGATACAATCACATGATTGTAGTTAAGCAGAGCAAATATAGGACAAATGGTTATCACCAATTGATGAATGTCCTCCCAGACCTTAAAGTACCAAATCTGGAGCCTTCAAATCTCCAGTCTATTAAAAACAAATGCTCAGGCTGGGGGTGTGGCTCAAGTGGTAGTGTGCTTGCCTGGCATGCGTGGGGCGCTGGGTTCGATCCCTCAACACCACATAAAATTAAAAAATAAAATAATAATAAAGATATTGTGTCCGCCTAAATAAAACTAAAAAAAAAATATTTTAAAAAAATGCTCTATGTGGAAGAAAAATTGGGGGTAGGGTTTAATTTTTTTTAAAAAAGGCCTCATATTAAGAATTATTGTTTTCTCTCTCTGCAGTACTGGGGATCAAACCCAGGGCATTGCACATGCTGGGCATCTGTTTCTAGTATTTAATGAAAGAAACTATATCTTTCAAAATCTAATAATCCCAGATGCCAAGGTCAGCTTCTGGAAGATACATGGAGACTGGCTACACTCTCTCTCCTCCTGTAAATGCAGCCAGCAGAATTGGGGGTATTAGGTCTAAAAAGACAACCTGACGGATCTAATTCCAGGGGGAGGGGTGTGTGTGTGTGTGTGTGTGTGTGTTTGAAAAATTGCATTTAAAAAGTACCACTTTCTTAAAAAAAATTTTTTTAGTTGTTGATGGACCTTTATTTTATTTGCTTATTTATATGCGGTGCTAGGAGTCTGTGTGTGTGTGTGTGTGTTTGAAAAATTGCATTTAAAAAGTACCACTTTCTTAAAAAAAATTTTTTTAGTTGTTGATGGACCTTTATTTTATTTGCTTATTTATATGCGGTGCTAGGAGTCGGACCCAGTGCCTCACACATATGAGGCAAGTGCTCTACTGCTGAGCCACAACTCCAACCCTAAAAAGTACCACTTTTAATCGCAGACTTTACTTTTATTTTTGTGAAGTCATTGGCTTTATTTTTATGAAAAAATATTTTTTCAACAATTAAAACACAGGAATAAAAACACAAGACCCTTCTAAAGAGTCAGCTTACTTGGTTCAGTTGCAAAGACTGTTCTAGGGTCTGGGCCCACCCACATGTTTGATATCCTCCTTTCCTTCCAGGAATTCCTGGGCCCCCACCCATCCTTCTTCCTCTAGGTATCACCCCAGGGTGCTATTTATACAGAATCTTCTAGCTGGAAACCCCCTGAGTTGCTAATCCAATGCTACCTTTCCCAGAGAATGTATAGATTTCCATAATATACTTGTTAAAGATAAGAAAGACTTTAAGACCCACACAACTCTTTAATTATAGTTCTGAATCATGTAATAAGCATAAGGAAGATATTTTTGAATAGAGAGGGCTTTCCTTCTTTTCTCTAAGTGCATAATTTTAGCAGCCACCTCTTCCACCTACTTGTAAGACCAACACTGCATCTGTATTTCCTTAAAAGGGAATATTTACCTATTAGACAACGTGCTACTTTCCACATGATAAGGTTTCCTTTTGGCTGACCTTGAAGGGGACCGATCCAAAAGTCTCTGGGTTTGAAATGTAGGGTGATTCAAACACTGTTCTGTCAAGTATCTGTCGGCTGGGTCCAACTTCAGTAAATTCTTAGGAAATAAAGTTCAGAATTGGACATTAAAAAGTCAAATTTGAATTATAATAAAAATATTACTTTTTTTAAGAAAAGGAAAATACATGAACATTGCAGAATATCTAGTAAACACAGTTCAGGAAAAACAAGACTATCTAAATCACCATCTCACCATCGTTGTCCTCTGTGTAGACATCCTTCCAGCCTTTTCCTGAATATAATATATACATATTTCTTTTTTAGAAAATCTGGGTCATATTACACACACGAGTTTAATATCCCACCCTTTTTAACTTACCCATTAAAACCACTTTTTATGATATAACTTAAACATTTAAAAATCTTTTTAATACATAAACATTCACATTCTTCATCTTTTTCCTTTCCCTCAAATACCCAATTCCTATTTCTGGAGGCAGGTCATCAGTTTCTTGTGCAGCCTTCCATAGTTATATTCTGTACACAATTCTATTTATTTCTTTTATTTTACCCAAGTAGTAGCATACACACAACTGTTTGTACATAGGTTTTTTTCCACTCTTTCCACTTGATGTACAACTTTTTCCCCCTTTTCTTTTCTGTACTGGAAACGGAATCCAGGGGCATTCTACCACAAAGCTTCACCCCCATCCCTTTTTATTTTTTATTTAGAGACAGGATTTTGCTAAGTTGCCAGAGGCTGCTGTAGAACTTGCTATCTTCCTGCCTAAACTGGGATTACAAGCGTGTGCTACAACACCCAGCCTTGAGACACAACCATAAGGGTTCATTCATATAGGTAAGGAACATTAACTCTAAGGATGTACCTTTTTTGTATTGTTTTCCTTGTTTTGTTATTTTTAGTTTTAGAAAAGTTTTTTCTTTCTTTTTATACTTAAGATCAAACCCAGGAGAGATTTATCCCTGGGCAACATGCCCAATCCTTTTTATTTTCAGACAGGGTCTCTTTAAATTTCAAGGCTGGCCTTGAATTTGCAATCCTCCTGCCTTAGACTCCTGACTCACTGGGATTATAGGCATTATAGGCCTGAGCCACAGTGCCTGGCCTCCTTGTTTCATTATTATGAACAATGTGGCAACAAATAATCTTACAATATGTTTGCTTTTTTTTTTTTTTTTTTTTTTKCAGTTCTGGGAATTGAACCACAGGCCTTGTACATGCTAGGCAAGCACTGTACTGCTTACCTGTATCCTCGGCTTTAACACCACTTTTTTTTTTTTTTTTTTTTTTTGAGAGAGAGAGAGAGAGAGAGAGAGAGAGAGAGAGAATTTTTTAATATTTATTTTTTAGTTTTCGGTGGACACAACATCTTTATTTTATTTTTATGTGGTGCTGAAGATCGAACCCAGCGCCCTGTGCATGCCAGGTGAACGTGCTACAGCTTAAGCCACATCCCCAGCCTAACACCACATTTTTAATGACTACATAGAAATCTGTGATATTAACATACCATTATTTAGTTAGAGCCTACTACTGTTGGGCATTTAGATGATGGTCACTTTTCACTATTATAATTATAATTAATTCTGAGACAACAATTGTAATCTTTTACAGGATGAACTCCTAAAGATAGAACTGTTAAGTATGCAAACTTTTAAATTCTTTTTGGTATGTTGCCACATTACCTCCTAGGAGGGTGTCTCAAAATTGTAGGAATCTCTGCAATTGTAGGAATCTACCAATTTCTTGGCATCCTCATCAATAGCAGGCATTTCCTTTTTTTTTTCTTTTTTTTTTTTTTTTTAGTAATTATAAAATATATATTTAAAAGGCAGTATTTCACAGTGGTTTTACTTATTTATTTTATTTTTTTGGTGGGGAGATACTAGAGATTGAATCCAGGGGCACTCAACCACTGAACCACATCCCCAACCCTATTTTTATTTTATTTAAAGACAGGGTCTCACTGAGTTGCTTAGCGCCTCGCTTTTGCTGAGGCTGGCTTTGAACTACTGATCCTCCTGCCTCAGCCTCCCAAGCTGCTGGGATTACAGGTGTGTGCTACTGCGCCCAACCTTCTCATAGTGGTTTTAAATTACATCTTTGACTACTATTGAGGCTGAATGCTTTCACATGTTTATTCTTATTTTTTTTTTTTATTTTTCCCTTTCTAAATCTATCCTTCTTTATTTGTAAGTGTTCTTTATTCATTAAGGCACTGGCCCTTTGTTTTATATTGTATATATTAGATTCTTTACAACTAAAAGTTTTTTCCAAATATTGTTTATTTATATTAGTAACTGAACAGGATTTTAAAAGTGAATCACTGAGATTCTTATTTACAAATTAAGCAAATAGCTAAAGAAACATTACCTACATAGCTTAACATAATACAATACAGCACACTAAAATTTCCTCTTTACTTTTCCCTGTCAAAGGAAGGAAGCAGGGTGAATTGTAGCATTCACAAGTCCATCTCTAGCTCATTTTTATTGGTTTTGCCCATAGTTGATCTCTTTGTGACCCACTATTAAACAGCAAGAAGAAATTTGCTCCCCAAAAGTCAGATTTCAATTTTAGACAAGCACCTTCAACCTAGCACCATATAAAGTTTGACTTTTGATTCCACCATATACTGAAATGAACACTTTAGGCTGAAAAATTCTGTTTATTGAAACACAAACCTCTGATTACATGCAAGTGGATTTACATTCATACTGATTCAGACACAACTCTGAAATCATCTCAATTCTTTCTTTCTTATTATCAAACAAAAACTGTCAGGATATAAAAACAATTTTGTTCTCACTCAAAGTTCAACAGTTAACATCAAAATGGCAACATTTAAGATACTAGCTAAAAAAGAAAGGAAAATCAACCCTTAAGTAGTCTTTTAAATTCAAAGTATATATATCTACTAGCATTAGTGTTATTTATTGTTATCAAGTAGAAGTTACTGTACATACAAAAACTACATTTGTATTTATTAATAGAGCTGTTAATTTTCAAATTACTTGAAAGGATGAGGTCTTCATGAGGAAAATATGAAATTTACCCAGTTAATAGTTTCTAAAATTCAGCATTTTGAGGAAAAACATCATCCTCCTCACCATCACCACCACCACCACCACCACCATCACCATCATCATCATCATAAAATAGATCCAACATAATTATTGTATCTATTCTTAAAATAGTTAAGGGCTTGAATTAATGCTGGTGACTTCTATCCCCATTGAAGTGGTTGAAATGAACAGATGCAGGATGAGATGGCCATTTTAGGTACTTCTATTACCTAAGACAAAATTATCCAGACAGCTTTTGGGAATGGCACAGAGAATATTTCTTTATGAAAGGATAATTGGTATTTTTAATTTTTCAAATTCATTTTCAAAAATAGCTAAAAGACAAAAGGAATGGATTCTATTTATGTACCATTCAATAATAATAAGGCAATGTTAATGGTTGGTAATAGAAGGGGGCAGAGCAGGACAGAAGCATGAAGCCTAGAAAGGATCATAAGGAGGGTTCCAGGGTATTAACACATTTCTATATCTCAATCTATGTAAGGTTATAAGAATATGTTAACATTATAAAAGTCATCTGAGGTGGAGACATAATGAGCACCTCTGAATATATATTTCAGTGAAACTATTTACTATTCAAGAAACTTGACAATAAACTCATTTTAAAAAACAGGAATTAGAATGTCTAATTTATGGTTCTACTTCTGTCTGTGGTACCTTTTTTCAGTACTTGCTTTTATTCAGATTCAGGTACCACCCTGATGACTGGTAATTACACTTGACAATGATTTAACAAAAAAGTTCAATTATTTTTAACTAAAAAACAGATAAAAGGCAGAAAACATGAAATTATATTTACTTCCATTTTTCTACCTCATTTACATTTTAAAAGTTACCGAATTAAGGTCCTGATCAATAAATATTGACTGTGAAAGAATATATTGACAAAACCCAACTGATATAAGTGATCATTTATACCTAATTAAACTGAAAGAACTTGGAGGTTGTTTTTATTTTTTTTATAGCATTTCTCAATCTGTATTCAGAACATTAGTGCCTTAGAGTTTTATACAAAAACAGTTTTTAGTGGTTAATTAAATTTGGGAAATGTTGAGTGAAACAGAAATGCTTCTTTATATGAGATTTCTGAAACCATTTACAGGTTAATGAACATTGTGAATCTCTAAGAAAGGTTATAAGGTATGTGGCCTTTCCAAAATGCCACACCTCCCTCCTCCACCTCCACCCCCACACCTATTTACACTGTGTTCCCTGGAACACAGATTAACATAGTTTAAAGCACAGTGAAGTTCTAAGAATGCAGCTCAGCAATTTCCAACTGTGCTAAGTCTTTTAAAGGTTCTATGCACACACAGTGTAGCCTCCACTGATTTTGACAGTTGACTGAATGGGCATAAAATAAAACTCATCTATTAACAAGCATTTTTTGAAGGTCTACTATCATACAACCAATGCTTGTTTATACACTTGTTGGCTGCAGCAGAAGCTGGAGAAATAAGAAAAGTAATTTTTGCTCAGAGGGCTAACTGCCTGTCTACTATGGAAGAGAAACCTCGTAGGAGAAATTAGAGGATGTTTTTAGTAGTTCAGAGCAGGAAGTGTTCTGAACAAGGGGCTAGCACCAGGAACATTCACACCACAGTAGTAGCCAATGTCTAAAGAAGAGCCAGAAAGAGTGAGTTATCTGGGAGAGAAGAAGAGGTTACACAGAAGAGGAGAATTGGGTTCACTGATTATATCTGTACAAACTACAGGAGACCTTAAATATCATGTAACAGAAATTGTAGAATCTCTTTTCCTTCAATATTCATTTTAACAATTGTTTAAAAACTTATGCCTGATCAGCTCTGAGTGCTGAAGATTTTTATTACTCTGCCTTAGGAAAACGAGTTAGAGATCTCATGCTATTGTCTAAATGAACTATGATAATACCAGAACTTATTGCAAGTTTAAACAAATTACATGCCTTTTAACGTGAAATAGTCCCCCATTATTCACAATTTACATCTAGTAACAAAACACTTAATTCATAAAAGCAGGCTATGATCACATGTAGACACAAGTGAATCCATACATCAAAAAACATTTTCATATAGATAGATATCAATTTCCCCTACCTTCATTAGGTCAAGTAAAACACTATTTAAAATTCCAAGATATCTTCTCTCCAATGATTGAGGGTGGTTCACAGCCGGAAACTGTAAGGATAACACAACAGGAATGTCAGCATGTGGGGAAGGACATGTGTGCATGTGCTTGTGAGCACAGCAGAAGGGAGCAGTTGAGAAATTATTGCCTAGTACCCATCCAAGCAAATTCATATTTGTATATTACTTTTGGTATCCATGTATTTCAGGTATGAATGAATAGGACTGTATGTTAAACAATGGGAAACTTCACAGTGAAATATAATATTTAAATCTAGACAATACTTTTAAGCATGTAAAATTGACTAAGATATAAAATCTGAAACTATACACAGTTTATAGAGTATTGTCTGCTTTTATAAGTTCTAAAATAGTTTATACAGAATGTCTACTTAATTACTGATGGTAATTGGGGGACTAACAGGAGGGATACAATATGATATAACCTAAGATTTTTATCGCTTTTTCTCAAGAACATAGCATTTATTCCTGAAAATAGCTAAGTTTACAAAGGAGAAAAAGGAAGCAGGAGGCCAGAACCTGAAAGGCCATCAGAAGCAGAAACAGTGAATTCAGGCACACACTGTAATTGCTTTAAATGTCTTTTTAAAATGAACTGTTTTTAATTCTCCCTTTTTGTAAGTTGAGGCAGGGGGCAAACATAGGCGCCTAGATTAACAAATGCAATTTTTAATAAAATGAAGGGGAGGGGTCAAGTTTACTTAGATACTCTACCCTTTCCTGTGCTAACGCACACTTGGCACTATCTGAGTGTATGCTGAAGCACTGGGTAATATGACTGGCAGAGCCCAATGCCATGTACTCCCTCCAAATGTGAAGGCTAGTTTGCTTTTAATATATATTTCCTTTATACCAATATAAGAGCATTTCAAGCTACTGAAATCCGTAAACATATAAAAATAAGTGGACAGGAAAACTAATTATGGGTAAAATTCAAACAGGCTATTTAAAGAGTAATTATGACATCATCTGCACGCTCTGCTCAGCAGGGCAGGAGATGCAGAATATGGGTAAAGACCTAAACCTTGCATTTGAAGAATCTATTATATGATTGGCAAAACAATCAGTGTTACACTGTGCAAACATAAATTCCAATGGAAGCTCAGAGAAAAGAGATCAAGGTGGTTTGTGGCTATAGAAGCAAGAACCCATAGGTAATATCTGAACTATGTTTTGAAGAATAAAAAAAAGTGAAGACAAGAGAAAAGTAGGACAGCACCTCCCAGATAGAGAAGTAAAGAATAATATGAACTTAACACAGACTCACAGGCAAAAACCTAAAACTGATTTCTGAGGGAAGTGATGCTATGCAAGGCATTTTAGGTATTATTATTCTTTCTTTAGAGATGAGGAAAATGATGATCAGAAAGTTCAAATAACTGGTTCAAGGAAAGTTACATAAGTAACAAGCAGCAGAACTAGTATTTGCACCCAGGCCTGTGATCCAAACCTAAACTCTTTCTAAACTGAGGCATCTCTCCTAATGGAGAAGCAGAAGTTCCTTTTGATGTTATTGGAACATTAAATATCAACCCAAAGAGAGAGATGCCTGTCATGCCATGATAAAGACCCTGTACCAGTATATTTTATTGATTGGCTGACTGATTGATTGATTATGGTACTGGGAATAAAACCCAGGTGTGCTTTACCCCAGAGATACATGCCTACCCCTGCCTTAATGTCGAAACAGGGTCTTGCTAAGTAACTGTGGCTGGCCTTAAAATTACAATCCTCTTGCCTCAGCCTTTCAAATCACTGGGATTACAGGCATGTGCCACCTTGCCCAGCACAGTACATTTTGATTAACATTTTACTTCTATATTATATACCAGATACCCTCTCCTTTGCTTTCAGAAATGACCTTTCATTGATAAGAAAATCAATTCTGAAAGTCAAAAGGTAGAAGAACTATTATAATAAAATTACCAAGCAAACTTCTAACTTGAAAAAAATTATGTTTCAAATGAAATCTACCATTCTAACATGAGATGATTCAATAGACAGCTAAAACTTAAGCACAGAAGTTTAAATAATAACCTAATCAGTAGTTTGTTTCCTTTCTTGATCACTTGGTGGATACAAAACAATGAGCATACCTTTTTACTGAGCACTGACTATATGTCAGGCACTGGACTGGGTATTTTATATCCAATATTTCATCTTCACAACAACCCTATGAAATGTTATTCTATTATCACTATTTTACACATGAAGAAACAGAGGCACAGGATGGCGAAATAAGTCATTGAGTTCATTCAAATAATAAATGTGGGCTCAGGCTTTGAACACTAGCAGTTTAACACTGGAGCCTAGGAACTAAACTATGAGACAACAACTGTTTTCCAAATAATCCATACAGTTAGAGCAACATCTTGTGCATTTCCCATTCTCTATGCAAGTGGATCCAATTGCACATCATACGCTGGATTTTAGTTACCGGTATATGGGGCTCCCGGCAATTGCAGTTCACAGGCTCTCTGTGCTCAGCTCTCCATTGCAGACATTCTCAAGGGATATCATAAAAGAAAACTTTCCCCTCAAAGGATGTTGTTAAACCTCTAAAGAGACTGAACTAATTTAGTTGAAATACCGCAAACACTTTCAGACTAAAATGTAAACATTTAAGGCTTATAAAAATCAAAGTGCCATGGAAGCAGCAATTTCCCTGAAGAATATTTATAAGCAGCATTGTCAAATGCTGCCTAACACTTCACAGGTAAGATTGTTTAGCAAGGAAGTCTGTGAACAAATAGGACCAAAGACAAATGAGGAAAATACACCCTTTGTGTGGTCTCTCTAATCTAAATGCTATTCATTCTTCAATATCTACTTAAAATGTCAAATCCTCCATAAAGTCCTTTCTAATGAATCCTTATCTATGATTTCTAACTTTCTGGAATGTTTGACATGCATCACAGTCTAAATCATAATGAGATATATTAAAAAGCAGTACAATAAAATAACGAGTACAGTTCTGTAATATATATTATACTTTCCTGTAAAATATATTGTTTCATAATTATTTTAGTATGAAATCCTTAATTCTTTAGCGTATTAAGGCTAGGTACCATGTTGTATCTGCTATATATATTATATATTATGTAGACTATTCTATTATATAGACTATTCATCCTAGAATAGTCTAGAAGAGGCTTTATGGACAGAGGAGATTTGGTTGGAGTCTAGGCAAGTGTTGGGAACATCAGAAAAAATGGAAATGAGCCATTTCAGAACCACATATCAAGAAAATGGTGGGAGGTTCAAGGTAGTTTAAGAACAGGGGGCAGGGACAGGGTGGAGATGATGCTAGGAGGCTCCTTAATGCTAACCCCTAAAGATTTCAACTCTATCAGCAATTCTACATAGGTTTTTAAATAAAAGGGAGATAGAAGTAAATGCATAGTTTGAGAAATGTGAAAAGACTTAAGTGAAGAAATTTCAAGAGATTAGTTTGGGAGCCAACTGTCTATAATTGAGGCAAAAATGACAAGGGTGAAAGAAGCATTGGAGATGAAGAGAAATGAAATAAAACTGAGCTTAGGTGCTGATGGCACCGGTTCATTCGATCCACAGATCACTCAGATGTTTAGTGAGGGGCCACCAGACATATTCGTTTCTGTGTTAGATGCTGTAACTAACTACAGTGATAACAGATGATGTCCGTCCTTGAGGAACTTATATGCTAGTGGGACAGAACTTGATATTAGAAATTATCAAGAAAACAACAAATGAAATAATACCATAATGTGATAAGTGGTATGACAAAGAAAGAAGGATACTATGGAGGAGAGAGATGAGGTAGGGTACAGGATATTAGGTGGACAGAGAGAGGAGGCATTCTTTGAGTTGAGATTTATGGAAGGAGAAGAGGCCGTGCAAGGGAAGAACAATCTTCCTGAAAGAAGAAGCCACAGGTCCCAAAATTCATGAACCTGGAAAAACCTCTGAATGTTTATGGAAGCCAAATAACAGAAAAATAGAATTTGGAGAAAGAGGGGATTGGAGATAGGTTTAAGACAAAGTCAGGGATCCAGAGGACATGGATTGGGCAAGGATTCACAGACTATGGCAAGGAGTATGGATTAATTCTCAGTGAAACAAATTCGATATGACTAACTTTATTTGTGAATATAATAGATTTCCCTTACTGCAAGACTGAGGGCAAGTTTTATTTATTGTCATGTTTTCAACATCTAGTATGACAAATGTTCAATAACTGTTGAACTAACCTGGTAAACCACGTGTGCTGTTTGTACCCTAATTAATGGCATAATTTGGCTAATTTTTGGCTTACAAAAGCAAAAATAGAAGGAGAAAAACTTGCCTGAGGCACTTCAGACGCATTTGGAAGAGAGACAGAAAGCAGGAAGCAGATGAAAGAGAAACCCAGCAGAAGCTGGGGTTGTGTTGGGCACTCAGGTGTGAACAGTGGTGTTCTCCAAAGGGAAACTAACTGAGGTCTAGGAAGTCAAAAGAAAAAAACCGAAGTGCTTTACAAATGGCAAGATAACATGGTTTGAGAATGATGCATTTAAGAGAAAGAAAGGAAGTGATGAAAGATTATTTTATAGCTTCCACCAACTAACATGTGGGTCCAAAAAATGTTTGAAAACTTAAAAAGTTGCTTTTGGGGTAGATGGAAGAGAGGGGTAGCCTGTAACTCACTAGCCACTCCAATGAAGTGCCTTTACAAGGTAGGTGTTCCTTATTTGGGGAAAGTTCATACTTTCTAAGATGCTTTTTGGCATATTCTAAGAAAACAAGCTCTGTACAAATTTATCAAGTTTAGAAAAGGCTGCTTAAGACAACACATGGGTTTGTAAAGAATATGTGATATTTCACTGTCAATGGACAAGCAATATTTGCTGGAACAAAAACCTTTAAATCTACAAGATGCAAGTATTCATGGTCTTCCTCAAATCACTATAAACAAATTTGCTCCAGTAAGTAGTAAGCATACATACATTCTGTATCTTTCAGGAATGCTTAATATTTTGAATAAAGAGTCTAAGATAATTGAGGTTTAGAATATAATAATGCATATGCTAAAAAAGATCTTGAAAAATTAGAATTTATAAATGAGAAAAAAATATTAGCAGTTCCTACTTTCAAATTCTGATCATTTTTTAAGCATTCACAAATACTATATAAGACCCGGAAATAAAATATGATAGTGGGGATTATAAACATTATAATGGGAAAGGGAACAGTTTTCAAAGGACAGCTTAGCATACCACTGTGCAATGAACAATGAACTAAGTACAGCTGTATTGATTCCATTTGGGGTTTTAGCAAAACCTCTTACCCGGAGCCCGTGGAAGCGAGGATTACTATAGAAGAGCTTCATCTGCTCAGATGGAAGTGGTCCTAGCACCTTCTGAATAGTAAAAAGTTGGTCAATTTCGCTTTCTCCAGGAAATAAGGGCTGTCCGTCACTAAGTTCCCCAAGAATACAGCCCACTGACCACATGTCTACAGACTTCCCATAGGGAGCTCTGAAAAAGCAAAGGGAGAGATTATCTTGACAACTGAGGACATATAATGTTTGAAAACTTTCCAAATTATTTTGAACAGATTCATGACTTAAAGTACATTTGTGTATTTAAGAAATTTTAAAATGCCACTAGAAAACAGTACAACTGAAAATAAGGAATCATGGATATTCAAGTAAAAATCCAGAATACAAGTGAATAAACCTACATTAATAAAGATGTCAGTTTAGTAGCAATTTAGTCAGCATACACTAATTTGATATCTGGGTATATCTTGAATATGAATGGCTTAATAAATCCTAATATAGTGCACATGGCTGATGAGAAACACCTCACTTGGGAAATAAAATGCTCCCAAGAAATATAAATTCTAGGTAATTAAATTATACTTTAGCTCTCTAAATGTCAAAAAGTTATATTTTATCCATTTTATCCAGTGTATTAAAATGTACTACTGACTTGTGTGTCTTCTTAAACAAATAGTGAATATTATTTAACCTTTGATTACTTAGTGTCACAATATCCAATAGCTGAAATGGTGCTAAGTTCTATTGTATTATTTACTTGAATATAATTGTACTCTACATATCCAGGGCTTTCTAATAGCTACCTTCCTAAAAGCATTATTAGTTTATTTAAAGGGTTTAAAGCTCTCTTCTCTTCTAGGATCTGAGTTTACCAGAGTGCTTTAGGAGGAGAGTTGCTATTACAAATAGAAACCATCCATGAAAATCTAGGCATTCCCAAAACAGCTCTATACCTATAACTCAATATCTATGGCTGGAAGTCAAATTATTTATGGTAGTTTAGGTAAGAAACCATGTATATATTTTAGTTTCAAACACATATAGAAGTTCTTTGTTGTTTGATACTAGGGATTGAACTCAGGGGTATTTTACCACTGAGCTACATCCCCAGCCTTTTTTTTTCTTTTTTGATGGACCTATATTTTATTTATTTATTCATATGTGGTACTGAGAATCGAACCCAGTGCCTCTCACACATACTAGGCAAGTGCTCCATCACTAAGCTACAATCCCAGCCTCCCAGCCATTTTTATTTTATTTTGAGACAGGATCTTTTATTAAGTTGCCCAGGCTGGCCTTGAACTTGTGATCCTCTCAAATTGCAGGAATTACAGGTGTGTGCAATCATTCCTGGCAAATAATCCAAGTTTTAAGAACAGAAAACCAAAATAAAATATATGATAAATGAAATGAAATTCTAGAATGCCACAATGATATTAACAGTTAATATCAAAACTTTTAAACCAAAGCACTGTTAACATTATACAGAACATGTTTCTAGGGTAACAAATCACTGCAACAATAAGGCAACATTTCATTTCTTTCCCACAAAAACTTAAGAACTATGTGAGGAAACTTCATTTAAATCTTTTTGTTAGCTTGCTGGGGGAGGAATAATACTGATTGTTCTTTCATATCTTTTTGAGAGAAAGAAAACATCCTAGGTACTAGACGGAAAAACCTTTAAAAAACCTCTACATACCCTAACTAAGCTATTTTTCTTCTGTCATCTGATTTGCGTAATTTATGCAGCTGGAACTATTTTGAATGTCAAGGACAAAGCCTTGAGAATACGTAAAAATGAAAATTCTTAATGTAAAACTAAATATCAACTGATTTCAATGGAATTTTTACACAAATAATATAGTTCTTCAACTAGTACTTGACAATCACTTAACAGTAGTCAATTTAGCTCAAATGAGTTGCGCTATCACCATCTACTTTTGGTAGCTATCATACATCTCTAAATATAACCTCAGTTTTCTGAGAATTATCTACTTCATACTCTTTTTTTCATTGGCAAATAGTATCCAGTAAATTCAATGAGTCCAGAATGGTACACAGAAGAAACACAGGCAGAATGAAATATCAATCCTAAATCCAAGAATAAAAATTAGCACAGAAATCCAGAACGTCCACACAAATGAGGGAATAATAAAGTGACTAATGATCATTTGATTCTCAGGATGAAGCAAGCTTTTGATTTCAAAAAAAATAGTAAAGTTTCCAAAAACTGATGCCAGTAATACTTATAGGTCAGCAATGAATCTAGAAGTACTACCAGATGGTTGGTAGACACTGGGAAATGAATAGTTAACATTCATACAAACCCCTCAGAAAATAATTTAAACATGTAATCATGTTCTTCAGAAAAAAATTCAGAAATTTATATTGCTATATTGTACATTGTTGAGTGGGACTGCAAACTAGGACAATTACTCTGGAAAACAGTTTGGAGATTCCTCAAAAAACTAGGGATGGAATCGCCATATAATCCAGCTATCCCATTCTAGCAACGCAGCCTCATCAAAGTTTACAGCAGCACAATTCACAATAGCTAAGTTATGGAATCAACCCATATGCCTGTCAATAGAAGAATGGATTAAGACATTGTGATACACACACACACACACACACACACACACAATGGAGTTCTACTCAGCCACTAAAAAGAATGAAATTATGGCATTTGCTGGTAAGTTGATAGAAATGGAGATATCATGCTAAGTGAAATTAGCCAAACTCAGAAACTCAAATGTCAAATGTTTTCTCTCATATGCAGAAACTAGAGTAAAATAAAGGTAAGGGGGAAGGAAGGCTAAGATTACATAAGGAACCAATCAAATACGCAAAATAATAGACAAGTGAAAGGAAGACTAGTAGAGGAAGAAGAAAGGGGGAGGGCAAGAGGGAAAAAGGGAAGGGGGGTGGATTATGAACTGAAATCTATTTCCATGCATGTATGAGTTTGTTGGGATAAACCCAACTACTAAGTATAATCATAAAGCACTTAAAAAAAAAAGAATTTCTCATATACCCCAGGACATATATAGCACGTTAAAGAAAAGAGATAACTGACAATTTGCATACTTGTCATCATTACCACTATGGCAAATTTTACTAGATTATGAATTTTTTCTTCATTCTTGGGTGGTCTCAAAGAAGGAGATATAATCTAGGGAAAATAAGAAAATACTATGACTAGGGTAAGTAGAAAATTCCTGAAACTATGTAATGGAGATCAGGATCATGGGCTCCCTCTCTTAGGCTCTAAAGTTAAAACGCATTAAAAAGAAAAGGAGAGCCATGACAGAAGATCCTTTTATGGTTAATAGATGAATGATAGGGCACTGACAAAGGAAGGGTGGGTACAAAGTAGATGAAATGTTAAGAGGTATTGCTGAAAAAAATCACCAAGGCAGTGATAAAATAGTTACGTATCATCAAACAGGATTTACACTGTTCAGAAGAAAATGGCTACTGGTTCAATATTTACCCCATGTGTCGAGCAATGTGGCTAGATTTGACACTCAATAAATATTTGTTAAATGAATGAACAGGTAAGCCAGAATGCCAAACTCTATAGACAACTACATTTTAACATGGAAGATTACTAGCAAAGGTGGCTGTAATAATTCCTTCCATCTGTATATACATGCTGGTTTATAATGTGGCTCTGTCACCTTTTCCATCAAGAGGTGGGATTTATTTCTCCTTACCTTGAATCAGGGGTTGGCCATGAAATGGGCTTTGGCCAAAGGAGGCAAAAGTCATGCAAACAGGGTTTTGGAAAGTACCTTTGCTTTGCTTACTTCTTGCTACATGGAATTCTCCTTCCATTCTACTTAGCCTACTGAAAGATGAGTCCCTACAGATCAAAGATTATCAGTCTCAGCTGAGGCTCCACACACCAATCAGCCTCCAGATAACCTGCTAGCCAATTGTAGCTAGATGAGTGATTTAAAGAGAGACCAGCAGAGAACTATGGAGTTGCACTCAAATTATTAACACCCAGAATCCTGAGCAAAGGAAATGGTGCATTTTTGGGGGGTTGTGTTTTTTGTTTTGTTTTGTTTTTGTGGTGCTGGGAAGTCAAACCCTGAGCCTCGTGTGACGCTAGGCAAGCACTCTACCACTGAGTTACATCTCTAGCCCTCATTAAAGATCTAAAATCAGATACTACGGCAACACAGGTGCTTTGTTATACTGAATCTATAACTGACAAATATTTAATTAACTGAAATTCTTATTTTTCATAGGTGATCCCAAAGCCAATGATAAAGGAGCAATACATGCATAGAGATCATTGTATTTGAAGAAGGTAACTCACCCAAGTAACAGTTCTGGGGATCGATACCACCTGGTGGCCACATACTCTGTGTAATTAGCATTGTTGCCCTCCGATAGATTCCGAGCAAAACCTGAAAGAATAAATAACTTTGTGTTGGCAAAATATTTCAGTCCTAGTAATACTTTAAAACAACATCAAAAGAATATAATTACTGATATATTGAATGAGCTGCTTATTAATAAGTGTCCTTGTTATTTTAAAAAGTAAAGTGTTCATATGTTAATTGAAGTATATGATGTATTTACTATATACTAAAGAAATCCATGTTTTTGAAGTTATCTCATGCTTTATTAAGCATTCAGAGCATACTTTTAAATCAGTGCTCCTAAAAATGCAAATCTTAGGAACAAAATGAAGTCTCCATTAGAGTCATAAGTCAAAGTTAAACTGGGATAATGGTCATTAATTCTGCAATGTGGGACTTAAAGGGATATTTGTATAGTTATTGTATCTGAACAGTTTCATCCACTATGTAAACAACTAACAGTTGGCAATGATGGAAACAAAACGGGCCAAAATTACTGTCTTCTCCTAGTGATTGAGAAGCAGGTTAGGAGTATCTTCATTACCTCACAAACTTGACTACTACTTTTGCCCCACAGTCTTTCAAGAGGTTTGGGGGCCACAGCATAGCCACAAAATGAGGCAACAAGAGAAACTAATTATCCCACTAACTCACCAAGTGTAATATAGGCTCATCAAACAGTTACAAAAACCAAAGCATTAAAATCAGAGGTAAAAATTTAGGTGTCTGTCAGTTTTGAAAAATGGTGTATGTGTGGCAGTACTGGAAATGGAACCCATGGCTTTGTGCATACTACCAATGAGCTACATCCCCAGCCTCATGCATTTCTATTTTTTTTTTAAATATTTTTTTAGTTGTAGGTGGATACAATACCTTTATTTTTACTTATTTATTTTTATGTGGGGCTGAGAATCGAACCCAGTGCCTCATTCATGCTAGGCAAGCGCTATATCACTGAGCTACAACCCCACCCCTCTTTTGTTTTTTTAATTTGCTTTATGATTTTCAGTAACTTTGGAGCTTAAAGAGACCAGTGGCCCATAGAATCATGTATGCATACTAAATTATATATGAGGGGCAAAAAGTCCCAGTATCACGTAATAATCACAATTGTGGATAGAAAGTCAGACTTAAGTACCATTCCTAAAAATCATGCTGCTAAGGATATGATAAAAATGCCAAAATCAAAACCTAATCAGATACAGTATTCAATATTTCTTTTTCATTTTCTTAAGAACTTCTTTAAGAACTGGGGAAAGAGCAAAGTTCTTTGCACTATTTCTTATAAATTATGATGAAAATTAAAACCTTTTTTCTCAGGCAAGCAGGTTCATAATGTTCAAACTCTTTGAAAGTGTTGAGTAAAAACAGTTATACATGCTTCCAATTGCTATACTGAACAAAATGGTCATTCTACAAAACTGATTTTTAACATTTTCCATTGCTGCTGGGCGTGGTAGCACATGCCTGTAATCCTAGTGCCCTGGGAGGCTGAGGCAGGATTTCTAGTTAAAAGCCAGCCTCAGAAAAAGCAAGGTGCTAAAGCAACTCAGTGAGACCCTGTCTCTAAATAAAATACAAAATAGGACTGGGGATGTGACTCAGTGGTTGAGTGCCCCTGGGTTCAATCCCTGGTACACCCCTCCAAAACAAATCTCTATTGCTCATTGGTGCAATCCATTTATGCACTAATGTAATCTAATCTAACTTGCTTATGATAAAAAGAGATATTCTTAGCTACATGTGGAGGTTATGATATTTAGTTATATCTGAATATGTAAAAAAATTTAAAATCCACCTGTTATGTTTTAACAGAAAGATTAGGTAAAATTTGGGGCTGGGGTTGTGGCTCAGCAGTACAGCACTCGCCTAGCATGTGTGAGACACTGGGTTTGATCCTCAGCACCACATAAAAATAAATAAAATAAAGATATTGTGTCCAGCTACAAAATATATATAATATATATATATAATATTATATATATATATATAATATATATATATATATATAAACTAAATACTACATACTGAATTTTTAAAAACAGCAGATAAAAGTCTTTAAAGCAAGGAAAGATTAGTACTCCTCCAGCAATCAAATTTTGAACACAACAGAATGAACAACAGACTATTGCTCTGCTGATTTAAGTCAAAAAATAAAGATTAATTTTAATATGCCTTTAAAAGCTACCTACATGTTACACTAAATTAATTCTGTATCAGGGCTCAATTTCTTTTTAACTTACCAAAGTCGCATAGTTTCAGAACATCATTGTGGCTGATTAAGAGATTTTCTGGCTTTATATCTAGAATATCAAGATTAAAAAGCAATTAGTAAAAATCTCCTGTGTTCTACTGATTGACACCATTATATCATGGTTACAACATCTAATTAGATATATCTAGAGTAATTTGAATAGAAAACCATGGAAGTGAAAACCAGAGTACCAGAGTAACACATATCATGCTGGTACATAAAAGTTTCAATTAATTTCAAGAAACATGCAGACCACAATCCCTTGCTCCTTTTTTTGTATGATGGTGTGAAGTCCTAGGGATCAAACCCATGGCCTCAAGCATGCTGGGCAAGTATTCTACCACTAAACCACACACCCAACCTACCTTAACTCTTAAAGGGATGAATTGAATCTTTAAGGAGTTTAAGAATAACTGAATCTAGACCAACACATTTCAAGAAACTATTTTTACCACATAAAATATTAATGTAAACTTTTGGAGGGAAATAGAACAGAAAATGTTTACATACACAAGATAACTTAGAAAATACATGAGCACAAGTAGCCAGCATTATATTTACTGGAAGGGGGGAAAACTCAAGAAAGGAATAATTTCTATGTTTACATATCTCTTTAGCTTTTCTGTGTGGTTCACAATTACCAATGTGTAATGCTGAAGCAATACTGAATGAGTCAAGGTAAGATTTCTAATTTTTTCCCATAGACCTCCTGTAGATATGACAGGAATTGAGGAGCAAAAATTTGAAGAAAATGCAGTTAAATTCTTCCTTTGGGAGGCATCTCATACAGTACTTGGTAGCTGTATCATGGTATAGGTCTAAGTGAAGAAAGGGCAAAAATAGTGAAATCTGTAGATTTCAGAATCATGGTATCTACAGTTAATTCACAGCCACTGGTTAGCTTTACACTTAACCAAATCACATTTTCATGATGGAAATGTAGCTAACTCAGTTCCTCATTAATATTCTTTTTTAAAATATTTTTATTTGTTGTTGACAAACCTTTACTTATTTATTTATATGTGGTGCTGAGAATTGAACCCTGTGTCTCACACATACCAGGCAGGCACTCTACTGAGCCACAACTCCAGCCCCCTCATTAATATTCTTGAACAAAATATATAGACTGTTATTAAAATCATTACCCTAGACACTAGATGGCATGTCTATCCCATTGACAACCTTGATAGGGTAGTAACTGCTATGAGAGCCAAATGTAAGAAAACAAACTAGAAATAATAGGAATTGACATTCTTCATACAACCTTTAAGCCAGTCTTAAAAGTCAAGACTATTTTTAAAGTAATATCCTTGTGCATTTGTATAGGTGAATTAAAATGTAGTATTCGTTTATCTAATAATTCAAGGACAAGAATTAAGTATGGCAACATTTTCTGATAAACACACTCATTTAGCCCATTTTTGTATCCATTTGTGTCCCAGTACTATAAAATTATGCAATGCAAGAGAGATTATCATGAGAAGATAAATGGTATAGAGTCAAAGATGATGCTGAGCAAGTAATTTCCCTTTTATTGTATAAAGTCTGTAGTAGTAAAGGACAAATTAAGACAGTTTATAAAAGTACAATTATGGTCTTTATGCAAGGCTGATCATGCCTACAACCTGCAGACAATGAACACTTTTCACTAATGGATAAGGAAAACCAGGAAGTAAAGATATGTACTGGAGACTGTTGGACTAAGAGTGAATGACAGAGGAGTGCCAATGGGGAAAAGGTCAGTAACTTAGGGGTTATTTAAAGCCTGACTCTAATGGGGTTCACATTACCTGGTCTAAAAGACTGGACCACAAGACTGGACATCCTCCCTCTGCTACCTCCACCTCCACTCCCACTCGAAGTTAAGCATTTAATGGATTCTTTTGTATCACCAGTGTTTCTATAGTTCAGAGCAGATCTGATTATACAAACAGAGCTCTCACCACAATGCCCAAATAAATCTGATTTGTCTTTTACATGGCACAAAGTAGACTTGGAGAATGAATGACTTCTCATATCCTATGCTTTCAAAATGTTATTTCATTTAAATAGAAATATTCTGAAATTTTATTTGATGTTTTCTTTAGTACTTTCCATTTCAAAAATTCCATACTCACCTCTATGGACAATATCGTTCTTATGGCACCAGTGAATAGCTTTGATTAGTTGATAGATATAGCTTTTTACTTTTTCAGGTGGAACCCCATTTGGCATTTCTTCCAGCAACTCAAGCATATTCTAAAAATTGGAGAAAAATATTAATCTCCAAAATTAGGTAGGCCCAGAAATTATGTTCTAATAATTTTTGAAAGTATCTTGAATGATAATCCATCCAGTACACAACATGTATTTTTTTATTTTGCATCTCATCTACAACTTAGCTCATGGTAGATCAGGATACTACATTAAGTCGAGATTTTCTTTTATGAGAAATTCTATTTTTACTTCTCTACACTGCCTTAAATAATAACTGTATATACTTTTTTTTGAGAGAGAGAGAGAGAGAGAGAGAGAGAGAGAGAGAGAGAGGAGAGAAAGAATTTTAATATTTATTTTTTAGTTTTCAGTGGACACAACATCTTTGTTTGTATGTGGTGCTGAGGATCGAACCCGGGCTGCACGCATGCCAGGCAAGCGCGCTACCGCTTGAGCCACATCCCCAGCCCAACTGTATATACTTTTTACTAAAGACTTTCAAGCATCATTTTAGAATAATGTAAAGGGAAAGACAATACAAGGTAGAGGTATGACATTACAATGTAAAAAGAGAGGGCAGTCATTTTAACACAGCAAGCTGTATGTCTTTAATAGAAACTTGCATTGGAGTCAACTCTTAAAAATTTCTAGGAAAGACCTGGATAATATCCCCTCCGCCCCAATATTGGGGATTCAATGTAGGGTCTTATGCATGTTAGGTAAGCACTCTACCACTAAGTCACAACCCTATCCCTTTTTGTTTTTGAGACAGAGTCTCGCTAAGTTCCCAAGACTGGTCTTGAACTACAGATCCTCCTGCCTCAGCTTCATGAGTCGCTGAGACTCCCAGTGTGCACTACCGAGCCTGGCCTGAACAATATTCTAAAAGGAAAAAAGAGCTGGATGTGGGCACACGCCCATAACCCCAGCTACTTGGGAGACCTGAGGCAGGAGGATCACAAGTTTGAGGTCAGCCTGGGCAATCTGATGAGAACCTGTCTCAAAATGAAAAAAATAAGAAGGACTGGGGATGTGGCTCTATGGTAGAGCACCCCTGGGTTCAATCCCCAGTACTAAGAAAAAAAAAAATCCCTATAATTGAAGTGATCAATATATTTAGTACAAAAATTAAAATAGGCTAGAAAAATACTGTAGAAGTAAAAACACACAGACCCAAACAATTTGATCTTCAAAAATCTTAAGACCATTTTAAAATTCATGCAATTTGTTAAGTAGAATCTTCACTTAGCCAGTTTCCACTGAATTTCCAGGTTAACTAAACTCTATTTTTTCTGCAAACCACAATGGAGTTAAGGCCCACAGCACCTTATTTTTGTAAGCAATCACCTAGGACAGCAATTCTCAGAGTATGTCCTGGCAATCTACAGTAAGACTTCGCAGAGTGCCCATGAAGTCAAACTATATTGATCATAACACTTAGATATGTGCCTTTTCCTGTGTTGGCATTTACATTAATGGTACAATGAAATAATGTGTAAACTGCTAGTACCTTAGCATGAATCAAGGCAAGGGATTTTTCAATGCAATTAACTCTTGCCATTAAATAATAATAATAATAATAATAATAATAATAATAATAATAATAATAATAAACAGCAGTTTTAGTTAAGGATATTCTTCATGACATAGTAAAAAATATTACATTTACTAAATTTTGTTTCTTAAGAGTATATATCTAAGTTTTTACAAGAGAAAGAAGAACGCACATAGAGCTCTTCTGCTGCATATGTACCATCTGGACCATAGACCATGACTGTCTTAAGGCAAAGTGTTTGGGTGATTGAGATGAGACGCAAGCTGGTTTATTTATGGTTGGTTTATTTATGTGTGTGTGTGGAAGACCATATCTTACTTGAAAGAATGACATACACATTTATTTATGTCAAAATTAACAGGTTTATCATTATTTATTTGTTGTATTTTTGTGTGTGTGGTGCTGGAAATTGAACCTGGGGCCTTCCGGATGCTAGGTAAGAGCTCTATCACTGAGCCACACCTAAAGCCCCATATTGCTCAGTTTTGCCTTCTAATATGAAAAACATAAATAGATAAAACCAACATAAATAAAAAGTACTAAGGGCTCCCAATAATTTTCAGAGTATATAAAGGAGTCCTGAGGATGCCAGGTGTGGTGGCACATGCCAGTATTTCCAGCCACTAGGGAGGCTGAGGCAGGAGAATCACAAGTTCAAGACCAGACTGAGCACCTTAGTAATACCCTGTCTCAAATTTTTAAAAACAGGTTGAGGATATAGTAGAGTGCTTGCCTAGCATGTGGGAAGCCCTGGGTTCAATCCCTGGCATTGTCCCCACCACCACCACCACCCCCAAAAGATGGAAAAACCACTGCTCTAATACAGCCTCACAATTTTGTTCATATAAGTTGTATACTTATCTGTTGTGTTTATTCTTATACCTACTTATAACAGATTCACTTGCTATTTTAATAAAATGATCAACCAATGAAAATAAATTTTTTTAAAACAGGGAGTTGCTGTTTATAAGAAAATGAAGCTGAATACTTTAGAAAGATTTAATGAAGGAAAACCACAAAACACTGGCAAGGGACAGGTGCTGGCAGTAGTAAGCATAAACACTGAAGGACTCTGTTTTTGAGCTTTTGCTTCACTTTAAAGGTACATGATGAGTATGATATATATATATAAAAGACCATCTGGAATTTCGATAAGAAAAGCAATATGCAAAAGGCCTTGACTCACCTCTAAAGAATTATAAGTGTATATTTATGCTTTGAGTTAAAATAAAATGTTGAAAGAATATATGCATCACTTTTAGTGATTCTCCATTTAAATTGCCTTTTTCAATTAACAAATACATAGGAGGTCCCAAATACACAGGAGAAATAGGAAGGCTTTGTAATATACAAAACAAAAACAAATTGTATCCCTCATTTCATATTCCACCCTAGGTCCTCAATGGCAGAGATATTGTCCACTGATAGCTATTCTTGCCTTACTCCAAAGAGATAAAATTTTCAGTTGGAGACCTAGTTGCCCTGAATGAAGAATCCATTTCTTCTCTGCCAAGCAGCCAGTGTGACCATGCGACTACACCCTGGCCAATGGCATATGACAGCTGGAGATCTATTCTAACCTTAAAGATAAGGGCCATATTCAGGAATGGGCAAAAAGGGCAGAAGCAGCCCACCAGAGTTCCTAAAACTATAGAGCAGAGCTGCCATACCAGTCCTGCACTGCTTACCTTTGAATTTGTTATTTTGTTGAAGACATTATAATCAAGGGTCTCTGCTATCTCCTTGCCCTCCTGAGACACACTGTTAACTGTTAGGCATTGACACTAATGAGCAGGTGTCATGGTCACCTTCCACTTAAGAACCTTAGGGCAGGGGAAAAGGCCCAGGCCTGAGCATCAGAAGCCTGCAATTCTGGTAGCAGTTTGGACACTTACCAGGAGAGAGCTCTCAAACATGCCAAATTACCCACCCAGGAGGTAATACACAGAGGTGATTTCTCAGTTTGTTCTACTACAGTGACATTATCATGAGCAATCACCATAAATAGATCAGAAAAAAAAATAGTGAAATACTAGATTTGTTGAAATTTTATTATTTGGCAGTGAAAACTGCAAACTGTATGACAACTAAAAAATAAATAGCATCTGATTTTCCCTGGGATCCTAGCATAGCAATCCTTTTCTTATAACTTTTCCTTTTTTTTTTTTTTTTTTTTTAATCAACTTTTAGTTTTACTTTTTTGGGAAAGTACCTTAGGGGAATACCTAAATTGACACAGAAGAAGAAACTTCCAACAGATTTTGGAAAAGAAACATAAAAGCCGTGGCTTAAAATGACAAAGAACCTAGTATTTTTGAAGTTTTGCTAGCAAGTAATGAAATTACGACATATAAATTTCACAAAATTTTTTGTAATGGCTGAATGAATTCAAAGTTGCACTGCTGGACAGTCATCTTGACAACACTGCTTCCAACTTGATAATGACAATGGCAGTGATGCTCTGTCATGGGATAACAAGCACCTGGGAATTGACCTAAAGCAAACAACTCCTCCAACTTCAATTTTCATTAGAAAATATCAGGATATCAGCAAGTGCCACCTATTTATTCATCTAGGAAACCTCCAAAAGGCTTCTCTGGCATGTTTCCTCTACTATTGTATTTAAGCTTTGACCATCACCAAGTCCTGAGGGTAAGCTGTTCTCCAAAAATTCCAAGGCACCTAATATACATTACTGTAGTGTATACTGTCTTTAGGTCAAATTATTTAAAATGTCACTAATAACTTTCTTCTTCTTCTTTTTTAATAGATGGACACGATACCTTTATTTTATTTATTTATTTTTATGTGGTATTGAGGATCTGACCCAGTGCCTTACACATGTAAGCACCCAGTGCTCTACCACTGAGCAACAATCCCAGCCCTCTTTCTTTCTTTTTTTAAGTGCTAAGGCAAGTATACAGTAAATTCAAACAACACCTGCTTTTCCTCTTTTCCATGCTTCCAATTCCTCACTCCTGGTTTCATCTACTGCCTCAAGCCTCACCTTAGGCTTCCTGGCAGGCCTCCTTCCCTCACATAAAGCTCAAGCACTTGCAATTCACAAAAGGTACTTTGCACATTTACCACCCCAGGTCTGATTCAAGCTCCCAGTATATCCAGGCGTGGTGGGATCTGACACATACCTCTATCACCGGGACCATCATTTGTTAATTCTCCTGTTTCTCTTTCAGAAACTCCGTTTAGGTTTAATTAAAATAAATCAAGTCTAAAAATAAGTTGTTAGTCCATAGATTCTAAGATGTCAGAATACAAACTGGTATATTATTTAAACTTGAGGTTATCTCTGTACTGTTAAATTGTATGAAATCCTTAAATATATTTCAGGACATAATTACGGATAATATTTTCATTTTTCAAGGCTTAGATTATGAGTACATTGACAAGGTATACTAAATAATACTTTCTTCGATAATATCTGAAATGGACAAGCAAATCTGTACACTGGCAATCAATGCCTTACTTTTTCAACATATTCAAACACCAGGTATAATTTCCCCCTCCGACGAAAAGCTTCCTTCAGCTCCACAATGTTTTCCTGTTTGAGAGTCCGAAGCATTTTAAGCTCTCGCAAAGTCGTTTCCTTGACTTCTTCATTTTCTAGAATGTAAACAATAGTGAAGAGAGAAAAATTAAATTTTTCAAACTACTTTTCAAAGAATTTTAAGAACACTGAAAACATCCCAATTTCATCTTCTACTTTGGGTACTTCTGCTTAAGATTACAGATGGAATATTAAGTAATATATTTTCTTGTTCGGAAAAAAAATTGAGAAGAATTTAAAGAAGAAAAGGCTTGCCTGACCAGCATGGAACTGATTTTCTGCTTTTTCTTATTTTTTTTTTCTTCCTTTTTTTTGGTACTGGGGATTGAACCCAAGGGCACTCAACCACTGAGCCACATTCTCCATCCCTTTTTTGTATTTTTTTTTTTTTTTTTTTTTTTTTAGAGACAGGGTCTCACTGAGTTGCTTAGCACCTCACTGTTGCTGAGGCTGTTTTGAACTTGCAATTCTCCTGCCTCAGCCTCCCGTGTGGCTAGGATTACAGGCATGTGCCACCACACCCAGCTTTATATTTCTTATTGTAAAGTGTATGTACAGAAACATGGGTTAATAGGAACAGCATACAAATTCACTGTCATTTAACTCTAACTCTCTGTACTGGGGAAGAAGGCATTTAAAAGGGCCATAAGAATCAAGTGTATCAGTGCATAGAGGTCCTTCTCTGCTGCCAGCGTCAGTAGCAGCTGATGTCTCTAAGGTTGCCCTCAAGCTTTGGCTTTAAAGAGTGTTTTATTCCCCCATCTGCATGTAAGTCACCACACTGAACAGAGGTTGTGTGCCAGGCATCCACAATGTAGCTCGTGGCCAAACTGCAGGGACTTCTTAAGAGTGATTGCCTCTCTGAATAGCAGCTGCTATAGGTTCCCGCTGCCTTCCTGTGGCATGTCCATCTGTCCATCCCAGATGGTATAGCTGTTCTGGGATAAGAACTGATGCTGAACCAGTATATGCCCTTGCATACCACCAACTTCACTCATGATAAGCTCCACAGATAGGGAGAAAGAACAGAAGTCACCTTAACTCAGATAGTTAATGGGCAGGGAGTGAAGAGCTAATATTTCATTTCAAATGAGTGTTTATAATAGCTCTGGGAAATTCAAAAGTACTGTGTTATTGTATGTATATGTGAGGGTAAAGGTTCATAATCCCTCATCTATAATTTCAAATCCCCAAACAATCTAAAAACTGAAATCATTTCTAAGTGTGACAAATTCATTTAGATGCAAAATTGAATTGACATGAGACCATTTACAGTGTTCATATGAATATGAATATTTATATGTTGTGCTACAAAAATACTATTTGACTACAGGGTGCTATACAACACGCCATATTTCCATTCTAAAATCCCAAAGTTATGATTTGGCTCCAAGATTGGGGTAAGGGCCACAATCCTAACTTTGAGAGGTTGGGTCACTCTCAGGTCCAGGCATATCTTTTTTTTTTTTTTTTTTTTTTTTTTGTACTGGAGACTGAACTCAGGGGTACTCAACCAGTGAGCCACATTCCTAGTTCTATTTTGTATTTTATTGAGAGACAGAGTCTCACTGAGTTGCTTAGCGCCTCAAATTTGCTAAGGCTGGCTTTGAACTAGAGATCCTCCTGCCTCAGCCTCCTGAGCTGCTGGGATTACAAGCATGTGCCACAGTGCCCAGCTCATATCTTCAAATTTAAGGAGGAAGAAAATGGAATTTGGGGATATGGGCATTTCTAGGAAGACATGTTTCTACACAAGTTACACAAGAGGTAAAAGGCTGAAGCAGGGATGGGGGGCACAAAAGGAGAGGGAGATTCTAAGTACAGAGCCCGGAGTGTATCTCAGCTCATTTTCTATCCCAGCCCCTTCTCTCAAACCCCTTTCAAACCGAGTTCAAAGAAGAGACTGAAATAGAAACAGAGGCTTTGTAGCAGTGGAGCATTTGTAACAAATAGGAACATAAAGTCAACACTCCTTTGTGAACTGGTTACATAAGCAAAGTATTCTACTTTAGTCAGACAACTGTTGGAGAATGCTGGAACACCGACCAGGAAAGGTCAGAGATGCTGCCTGTGGGAAGACAAAAAACAGTGGCAGGGAAGGACAACAGTGGCAGAAGCAGTGAACCAGCCCAACCCACATTGGGGGAAAAAGCACAAGACAGCAGATACCGCCTGGCAGTAAGGGGGAATGAGTGAGATGCAATCAGGGAACTTCTCAAATTGGCTTCAAGGACTATGAGGGCCATAGGGCCATAGGGCCAGCTGTTCTCCAAGGTGGGGCCTAGCCAGAGAAGTGGAATTCTGTGATGGTTAGTGTTACAGCAGCCCCAGATGTTGCAGCCTGGGGGACCACCACCAGTCTCCAAAAGAAGCCATACCAGGAAACCTCACCTTCTGTTCCTCTTTCCCTTCATCATCTCAGGCTTTCAGTTCCCAAAATAACCCTAAACCTTATTTTTTAGCCATAGGACCTTTCAATTTGTCCCCTATTCAGTCTACCACCCTGGCTCTTTATAGGGCTGCTGGCTCCTTCTGTTTTTCTTTTAAATATCACTCCTCAAGAGTCTTTCCCAGGCCTTGAGACAAGAGGGCCCCATTCCCACTATACCTTATCACAGAAGTCTAGGCTTTTCTTTTGCTATCACATCATTTTTTTTTCTTTTAATATAGATAGAGCATCCCTTATCCAAAATGCTTGAGACCAGGAGTCTTTCAGATTTGGGATGTTTTTGGATTTTTGAAATATGTGCTTTTACATAATGAGATATTTATCTTGGGATTGGAAGTCAAGATAAAACACAAAATTCATGTATGTTTGGTATACACACAGCCTGAAGGTAAATTTATATGATTTTTTAGTGCACTTGTATTTTGACTGTGACATGTCATTCAAGGTCATTTCCAATTGTGGCATTCAGAATGTTTCAGGTTTTGCAATATTTCCAAACTTGGATTTCCAGGTCAGAGATGCTTAACCAGTACATTTGTTGCTTACTGTTTTACCACCTGTGTGGTCACCCCTGCTAAACCCAGAGCTTTAGGAGGATAGGACTAAGTTCTTCCATTCAACAATATATACCCCACCACCCAGCACTGCACCTGCTACAAAGAGGTGAATGATAAATATTTCCTACATAAATGCTTCAGCTAGAGCCATGAAATCTTTGCTCATGTGTTGCTAATTCTTCCTCTTTTCAGAGGTGGGGGAAACAGTGCAGGATAGCAAACAATAGGCACTTTGCCCTCTTTGTTTTGCATATGTGTGTGTGTGTGGTTTGTTGTTGTTTTGTTCTGTTTTGTTGCTTGGTGCTGGGGATGGAACTCAGGGCCTTAAGCATGTTACGCAGACACTCTATCACTGAGCATACCCCCAGAGCCCTGCCCTCTCAGTTTTGAGAAGAATGCTTTTACTCCCTTCTCTCTCAAGAACTTTGAATAGACTGCTTATCACATAAAAAGACAGAAACTGAATTGATTTTCCCTAATTCACCTCTGACTGGTTATTTTTATAACATGTGATTGCAAAAAATGGAGGCTCCAGAAAACTGATAGTACTGAGGTCAAGAACTGTGTGTATGAAATCCTTAAGAGTATCCACAAACTAGCTGGGCATGTTGGTACACATCTGTAATCCCAGCAACTTGGAAGGCTGAGGCAGGAAGATAACAAGTTTGAAGGCAGCCTTGGTCATTAGCGAGGTCCTTAGCAACTCAGTGAGATTCTGTCTCAAAATAAAACATAAAAAGGGTGGGGGATATAGCTCAGTGGTAGAGCACCTGGGGGTTTAATCCCAGTACAAAAAAAAAGTACCCATAAACTATGCTGGAGCTGTGTAATACCAAGTCAGTAAGTAAATACAGCTGGTATATCTTCCCTAATCAAATGCTTGATGAATTGTTGGCACACGTAAAGCAAGTGAAAAGAGGGCACTTTGTATTATTGATCTATGGCAGTTTCACTTTGCTAACGGATAAAGCCACCTCAGAATATCTGAATCAGAATGGCTTTAGTAGAAGGAATGCTAGAACAAGACTATAGAAATCTAGATTTTCAATTTAGTATTTTAACTAATTAACAGTGTGACATGTCACTCTGGGCAAGCCACTTAACTTTCCATCAGTAAAGTAAATAAATAAATGTCCTCCCAATTTTAAGGTCTCTTCCAAATCTAATAATTATTTCTTTTCATTAAAATTTTACTGATTATAAGCCTAAATGACTTTTGGTACTTTGTTATACATCATTCAAATCTATACTGATTTCACTGAACAATGGTTATAAAGAGAAGATAAATGACCCTGCAAAAAGAAGCACACTAAATCAACTAGCATGTAGTGCCAAAACAACCTCATTTTAGCAGCCTATTTTTAGGAAATGAATGCTTTTTTACTTTATGCCAGTCATAGGTAATAAAAGTGGAGGTAAGTGCTTAAGCATTAAAATTGTAATGAATGAGAGCAGGCAGGAAATGGAGTTATTAATTCCCAAAGTGCAGGCAAAATGTGCACTCTTCATTACTGGGAACATCCTATAATTTTGTTTCTCTAAGTATTTTTAAGGTTCTCAGCCTGTCCTGCACTTTTAAGATAAAAATTGAGGCAGCAAATGATGAGATGATGGGGAAAAGGAATATAAGCTCCATGTGCATAGGCTGCTCTCCCCAGAAGAGCAGAAAGCAGCAAAGTGCTTCAATGGGGCAGTTTTTTAAAGGTGAAAACAGCAGAAAAATCACTGTCTTCTAGTTGAAAGAGTCCTTGTGGGTTCTCTATACAGGCTAGCTCTTCCTGCTCACAAAAGAAGAAACCAAGGCTAGAAAGGATAGCTAACTATCTTAGGATGAGTAGGCTGAGGGTCACAGACTAGGTCAAACACAGGGACATAGGTGGCAGTAATGTAACACAATGAGATTTGGAGAATGAGCCAAAACACCCAGCTTTGGGTTGACACTCTGCTACCAGACTTGGGCACTTGACTTGCTACTAAAGCTAAGTGGCCAAGCTGCAAGTGGAAGAAAAACTCGGTGAAGATTCTGGGTTTGCATTTTCGTCTCAGTTAA